TATATATACAGTATATATATATGTGTGTGTGTGTGTGTGTGTGTGTGTGTGTGTGTTATTCACCAGATGAAAGTGATGTGCATTTTGTGTTTCTAGTTTTTCATGAGTGTGATTTGGGTTTGTGCCAACACAGCACAGTCAGCACAGGGCAACCTGGAACCATAATAGATTGTAAGGGGTTGACAGAGATGTTAACCTGTCCTGAAGCATGCACACCAGGTGGTGTCAGCTTCTGGGTACCACTCACAGATAGCAGCAGCAATCCAGCAATAAGAGGGCAACTTGGAGAGATTTCCCCTGAAGTACACAGTGAAAAATGAAAAATGCTTAAATTTTTTGCTCATAGTATTTTATTGTCCCAGAGGAAACTAGAAACTCAGTTTTTAATGTAGCTTTCAGGTATCAGAAATCACATAGAGTGATTTCTGCACATTGTAACATTTAAAATCAATAATAATAACTGTCAGTTTTTCTATAAATTTAATATACCGTAGCTGTAATGTTTATTACTGCTGGGAATTTGTGGCATAAAGCACAGAGAAACATTCAGTGCTGTACATTTTCCCTTAACTCCCTCATCCACTCTTACAGTAATTAAGTATTCTGCCTAACAGACACAAATATTCTGTCTTTGTTCAGACATGCAGATGGCTCAATTAAGTTTTGGGATGCATCTGCAGGTGAGTCAACTCTTTTTTTTTCACTTTTTCTCTGAGCTCACTGAATTGATATAGTTTGCCGAGCTCAGAGTTTAGTTATATGGCATGCTTGAATAAAAATTTAATTAATTTATTTAGTTTACATTTGATATTTATTTGTACATATAATTGCACAGCATAAAACCAAGAAAACTGCTCAGCTGCTTTTACATGGACCTTCAGCTTGAAGGACGTATCCCACCTTTCAAGCATCTCTGAGGATGTTTCAGCTTCAAACATCAACAGGAAGTTTTGATTAACCTGTAGATACAAATACATGAGGTACTAACTGATCAATGCCGGTGTGCAAAATGTAGATGAAGCTGTTAAAAATGATTTAAATATTGATGTATATTTTGAACAAACTAATGCTTTCACATCCATAAACCTTGGAAAGACTGTGAGAACATCAGTAGTTCTCTGGGGGTTACGCACCAGGTCGTGGCGATGTCTCTTTCATTTTGCAAAACACACTTGCTTTGTTGCTTGTGTGAACAAGGAATGATATAAGCTCCCTGCAGGCATCTCTCTCAACTCTCCCACATTGTGGTTTAGAGAGAATGGATCCTTGGGAGAGTGGCAAACAACATCACAATCCCCAAAGCTTATTCTTCTCTCTGACTTCGGGTCGGGATCATCCTGTAACAGACAATCTAAAAGTTGGCATGAATGAGATTGAAAGAACGCCACAGGAGCGCAAGTGTAGTTTAGAACAAATTTATACTGTTCAAGCTACCAGTGCATCAAGATCATGTGGACAACCAGTGTGTAGAGAAGCTGTCTTCTGGTGCCAGGTTTCAGAGGAGGCTTTACCCTGTATTTCACTAAGCCCTCCTGCTATTGTCAGCCACACATATTTGACAATCTAAACACACAAGAAAAATAAGCCATGGGAACCAGTTTATTAGGCTAAATACTTGTGGAATAAGATAACAGACTGTAAAACTGTCATAATATTGACACATTTTCTTCCCTGATGTTTATTTCAACACACTGAATCATGACACAAGAATAATGTAAACTTTTTGGTCTGTGAAAATCAGCAATTATTCACTCAAAATCACTTGTTTTGTGACAAGTAGCTCCCGCCCTCTCTCCGTGCATAAACATCGCCCATTCAATACGTCTTCATCCTCCACTTGAATAGCAGGAGAGTGTATTTAAAGGGAACTAGGACTCACACAGCCTGAAACAAAAACATGAATAATATAACAAGAAACCTCAACAATCAGGCAATATATTTTTAACAAAAGATGTGCATGTCACAATGACAATCCAATGCTTACTTCTTTCAGTTGGATTATAAAAACATTTTGGCCTTGAATTGTTAGACTGTCATCTTCCACTGCAGTGTCAGACTCATCAAACATATAGTTGAGCTCCATTTGCATTTGCCTGCAAAATAAATACCATATACCAGTGGAAATGTTGCTGTGTAGACTGATTGTTGAGTGAGACTATCTTATCCTAGTCTCACTGAGCCTCAGAGTTTAAGGTAAGCAGCCTACAGCTATCATACCTTGAAATGCTAGTTAGCTAACATGCTAGCTTAATGTGTTAAAAAATATAGGCCTAAATATATTCACAGATGTTATTCATCAAGGTAAGATGTTAGCATTGACATTATGACACATTAAATCATTTTTTTTAATTCTTATTTAGTTTACATTTATTTTCAGTGTGAGTCACTCAAGTCCCAGCCATCGTTGATCAACACATCCTTACAGTCAGCCATGCACAAACAATGAAGGCATTTGGCACACCTGCTGTTTATGTTCATAGACACAACCCTGTTTTGTGCAAAGGGTTAGGGTGAAATGGAATAAAACGTCAGAGGGCTGTGAAGGTAATCAATTTCCTTTCAGCCTAAAAGCCCTAATTCCATTTATAAGCATTACACAGTCATGCATGGTGACAGTGTCTCACTAAATGGAGAGGAGAGAGCATTTTAGAGTGTAAAAATAGTACACTATTGTTGTCTGGATGGTGGAGAATGGCAAAAGGCGAATACCTCTACAAAAATAAATCCAAATGCACATTTGAAAGGTCCAATGAAAAGAACCGACATTAATTGTATCCTACCGACAAGTTTGTGCGGCCACGGCTTAATAAAGCCTATCCACCCATGCCGCAGAGCTCCATTATCATCTACAAACACTACGGTCATACCATACCACTGGTCTGCGTGACATATCCCTTCAATGCATTTTCTCAGTCTGTGCCATTTACAGTATAGTTGGTATTAACAATATTTTCACAAACATGGTTCTGACCAGTCACACTGCAGATGTTGTACAAGCTGAAGACCTCCAAGGTCTTTGAGAAGCCAAAACCAGGTGAGGGCCGGGGCGCTGAGATGGTGGAGGAAGACCCCTTTGCTGTTCAGATGGTCAGCTGGTGCCCTCAGAGCCGTATCTTCTGTGTGGTTGGCATCTCAGCCCATGTCATCCTGTATCGATTCAGCAGATTTGATGCCAACACTCAGATAGTGGTAAGGGGGATGAAAATCCAAATGAAGGGGCGATAGCCATGTGATTTGGTGTGTGGTACAAGTCAGATATATTTTCACAAAGTCCTGTTCTGCTATTTTAAATGACTGGTTTTCAGATATATGTTAATCAGCTTTGCAATTTTTAGAAGAAGATCTATTGTAAATGTTCTATTGTGACAGTTCATTCAACTTGTCAGGAGCCTGCATCATGGGTAATACTTACGCATTGTGTGCTTTCTGATTATACACCCACACTTTTATTGCATGTAGTCACATCATCACAGGTTTACATGCAGTTACTGTGGCTATTAGAGTTGTGATGCCTATTAAGGTAGGTAGACTGATCATTACTTATGTACCTCTCTGTAACCCCCAGTCACTAGAGGTGCGCCTGCAGTGTGAGTCAGAGGATGTCATCACTCCATCAGAGAATGAGAACAACCCCTGCTTCTCAGAGCCCAGCTCCCACTCACCCCAGCCCCACTACCAACACCCATCTAGCCCCAGCAGCGGGACACCGGAGGGTGTCAAAGAGGGCATCCCCTATCTGAAGTAAGAAACTGTCAGTCTGCACTTTCAGCTGCACTTCCATGCATTTAGCCATTAGTTTTTGACAATGACTATTCCAATGAATTTTTATGACAAGAGCATATTTGACAGAAAACACAAATGGTAACACAAATGAAAAGTGTCTTTACCAGAGTGACACTAATGCAAGTAAATAGTGAAGTATTTTGTCACTTGGTCAAGGTTCACTAACCTTGATTCTACTGTATGTTGTTTCAGGGTGAAGGACCGGGTAGTCCGGGTCCCCCCTGGCTACCAGGCCGAGCTGGTCATCCAGCTGCTGTGGGCAGATGGAGAACCTCCACAGCAGATCACCAGCCTGGATGTCAACTCTGCCTATGGCCTGTAAGTCACCAGATGCACGGCAGGTTTTCTGTCAGCTGGTTTCTCTATCCATCTGTGTGGCTGTTCCTTTGTTTTTCATCAGTAGGAATGTACACTGGGCATGTTTTCATTATTAACAATAATCAGTTCCACTGCTAGTCAGCACTCAGACAGCAATCCCTGTTATGGCCTAGAGTTGTCTGCACAAATTGATTATGGACAAAGCTGCCTCTAAGACCTTTTATTATTGTTGTGGTACAATGGTACCTTGATAAATGATCAGCTTTATAGTGCTATCATAACAGCATTGCTGGAAGTGAAGCAGATAGACAGAGGATTCACACATTGGTGGTCCCAAATGGCAGCAAAAGGGCAAACTTGAACTTCTAGAAATCATCTAACACATTGACTCTCAGCTGCACACACAGCAAGGTTGCGCGTATGCATAGTTCTTTCCATCTGTCTGTGCATGTCTGTCATGTTGATTTTTCTGCAGTATTATAAAAGGTTAACTAACTGTATAAGGTTGCAATACATCTGTAGCTGCAGTGTAGACCAATGAATAATGTATTATTTTAATATATTTTATTTGATGTTGAAATAAGTAAGGTTACTTATCACACTGCTGCAGCTTCCCACTGGGATTCATCTTTCCTTCACCAATTTTATGTCAAATTAATGAAGTTTCTTCCAGCAGTAATGATAGTGTGGCGCTTTGCTTTTGGGCCAGTTGCATTCCTTCAGGACTTTCTGAAATTGCAAGTAAAAGAGGTTGCTATAATCCTCTGTGTGACCAGTATATCACATATCATACATGGTAACCATTTTTTTTTACCAACACTTATCTTGAGTTGTTGAGCTTCAGGCTTAGATCTATCAGTGTTGCAGTTTCCTGGTAATGCCATCTTTGCTATTATGCTGTAAGGCTCAAGCTGTGTTTAAATGTCACTTATTCTGACAGCATGGAAAAGGTTAAGGGTTCCCACTGCTACCTTTGCACTTGTAAGTTTTCTAAAGCATTCTGAGTAATGTGTTTTCAATTTAAAATTGTTGTTTACATGCAGTACATGACAAGCCCCATTGTTGCTTGGTGCAATTTCCATATTAGACACAACACTGTGGATGCTGCTGTCACTGTCATCTAGCCATGTGACAGTAATGTAAACTGAACCGGACATCTGCATGCTGGATGTGGGAGAGCAGTGATGGACTGGGCTGCATAAATATGAGTGACATTTGAGTATTTGCCTCACTTATTTTATTTTCAGACTGCTGAACTGAAAGGCCACTGATAGAGTCGCTTGTTGTGAATATCATGTAATTCTGCTCAGCGTCTGATCAAAGGGAACATCTTTTTTTACGAGGAAAAACTGAAAACGTATTGCCAACAAGGTTCTCTTGATCGGTTTAGAGCAGTGAGGGGGAACAGGGGGTCGTGGGGGCTTATGGGAAATCTGGTCTTACTATTTTAAAAAGGCAGCATTAGCAGTATGACATAGAAAAAAGTGTTTGTTGACAGTCATTAAATCAAAATGTCACAGTTAATTTGCCAGTGTTTGATAATGCTACGGCAGCGGCAGTGAAATCTGCCAGCAGTGTAAATGTCTTTCTCCTCCATCCACATACCTTCTCATTATGTCTGTGTGTCCAGTTTGGCGTTCGGGAATTGTAACGGCCTAGTGGTAGTGGACTACTTGCAGAAAACCATCCTGCTGTGTATGTCAACATTGGATTTGTATGGAGCTGCCGACCCCTACCAGCGCCTTACCCGCTCACCCCGCAGGAACAGACAGTCCACCTCAGGTAGCACACACGGCTCTGGGGTCCTGCTACACACAAATGCATGTACACAACTAATACTGTCCATCCATACAGTAAGGTGTCAGTAATGTAGTAATTACATCCAAACTACTGTATCCTACTGTCTTATCTATTTTCCATTCTGCTGTCTGCCATCTATCTGCCTCTACTGGTGTTTTTTCTTCCTTTTTCTTTTGTCTCCTCTTTTCGAGTTTAGACTGATCTATCAGGCAAATTTAACCTGTCTTACTGTACATGAAAGATCTGAGAGAAGTGACGCAGGTGGTTTGTTTAAATTCCCTGTTTAAATGATCAATATCCTTAATTCATTTGTAGGCGGTCAACAGTTACTAAAAATTGTCCCTAACCACAGCACTTGGGGCTGATTTTCATGTACTTGTATTACCTCAAAATTTCACTTGAGTGTTTCTATTTTTATACAAATAAGCCATTTAAATATTCTCCCACCACTCCCCAGGCTTCAGTTTTATTGTCAAACATAAATGAATCCTTTGTGATAGGAAAGAATACAGATTTGGCCTAAATTGATATGAAAAGTGTCAAACATAGAGATACTGGCTATTAGCATAAAATCTAGTCTATAATTTCAAATATAGTCCAACAATATCCAGTTAAATCTAAAAAAATCAGAGCTTTTATCAGTCTAACTCAATTTCTTCTCTTTCTTTGCTCTTTCCTGTCACACAAACACATTCAAAGACAAAAACACTCATCCACCTCAATATGCCTGTCACAGTTCTGCACTATGATATGAGGTGCATGTTAACAGGCTGCGTGTCATTCCACGTCGGCATTATTATGCATGTTGTCACTTAATGTCTGTCTTTTCTGTTTTTAGTCCTGCTTGAGCGTAGATCTGTAGTCACAAGCCACAGAGGCCTTGTGTATGTCCTGACCCCTGCCTCCCTTTTATCTTCCCTGGCTGGTGATGGTCTCTGAAGTCTTCTATTTAAATGCATGTGGCATAAAGATATTCAACTCCACCAAAATGAAATGACTGTGCAAAATACATGCGACTTCTTTCTTATTTGACCTGAAACTATCTTCTGACCTTGAAGCTATAACAGCTCCATCAGTTTAATATTTTAGTTGCTTAAGGTCCTTTAAGTGATTTAAGTACAGAGATTTTTATTACATAATCCCCCAAGTGTAGCTCACAATGCTATACAGGTACTCAAGATCTGTGTGAAGGGCAATATCAAGTTAGATGGAGGGATGACTTTGGGCTTCAGAGCCAACTCTTTTCATTTCCTGTTGCATAAGTGCTTTTATTGACTCCCACTGCACGTACCGTTCCCAGCTTCCTCTTTTGTAAAACTCTTTCTGTGCTTGGTCTTTAAAATCAATTCTGAGATAGAAGTAAAAGTTAAATCAGGCAAATGTGCCCTTTTTCTGTGCCCCAGGTGGCGGTCGAACACACAGCACTTGCTAAACTGCCTTTAAGCAGCCGGCCTCTTTTCTTTTTTCAATATTCCAACGTTTTAGAACATAGCCTTTTGTCCTTCCCACAACATTTTTAGCTGTTATCACCACACATGTGTATGTGTACACTATATACAATACATATATATATTTATGTCAGTCAAATGTAGTGTATTCATTTCATAAAACGATTCATAATTATCGGTCATTTTAGGTGTCTTTCTCTGGTAAGAGACAATATCCAAGTTGTATTAATACCAGCCTGAGCATGTTAATACAGAATGCCAATGGCAAAAACCATATGAACAAAATTACATGTAAACTAATTTATTCAACAAGAGATTTATTTTGATGCAGTGTTATGAGTAATGATGTGTTCCCTGCTAACACAGTAGTTTACTTCTTGTGTAAATGACCAACCACACCAACATTTTCCAAGTTTCCTGGAGTAGCGGGTATCTCTTGTCCCTCCCCTGACTTTAACTTGGTTGCTGCTTGCTCTCACTTTCTCTTCCACTCTAAGCCTGTGTGTTCTTCTCTCTCCCCCTTCCCTCGTTTTTCCTCCCTTCCCTTCCTTCCGTCCTAAAATTTTCTAACTCAATCCCTTCTTTATCCATCCTTTGTCTGTTGCTTAACCTCATGTTATTCTCTTGCTGACCTTGACTCTGTTTTTTCCCCTTTCACTGTTCAAACATTCTCTCCCCACTCACATCGTTCTCTCTTTCACACCTTCTCATCCTCTCTTATCTCTCCTGAATGTCTAACTACACTCCTCACTCTTGTTCCAGGCATTAACTTTCTCTCTGCGCGTGTGTTTGTGTGTGGCTGACTGTCTTGTCAAACACTCCCCCTCCTCCTCCTCTTCCTCCTCCCACTCCCACCTTTTGGTGACTCTGTGGCTGCTGGTGTGGGCATGTGGGCCTGCCTGACAGAGTTTTGCATGCGTGGCCTGTCTAACTTTTATTCAGATTCAAAGAAAAGGATCCGTACATCCTATCAGAGTAAGTCGGGTCTTACTAAAGGCTGGGGTACTCTGTGTGTGTTTGTGGGAGGGATGGGGTAGTGTTTTGGTGAATGGTACTAGGACAACAGGGTTGGTAGAGATGGTTGCCATAGAGATGGAGAAGGGAAGATTGGGAATAAAAGCAAAGGGACAACCCAAAGAGATGATTGGAATGAAAGAGGCTGTTTCTGGTCTTACATGGCTGTTTTCTGCCATATAGAACAGAACCACCTTATTCCAGTCATGTCCAGCAGTCTGTCCTTCACAGAAAGAGAGCCACTCCCTTGAATCAGTTCAGTAAGGGCAGTTATAAATAATATATGATCCATGTGATGTATATTTAAACTGAAACACAGTTAGTGGGGTGAATAAAGCCTTTTTCATCCACTGGGCCAAGCAAAGCTATAATGTGTATTTTGAGCTGATGATTACAAAGGAATTCTTAATTTTATTCTTCAGTAAAGGTTTAATCAGAGTCCCTTTTAATGCATTTAATCATTTGTAAGGCCAGTGTAAATGATTGAAAGAAAATCTGCATGAAGACTGAAGAGAAATAATTCAATTAGTTGAAATTTCTGAACTGTGACGACTCAGTGAGGCTTTTAATGAAGCCATAATGAACATGGCTTAAACACCCCACAGACTTAAAGGGACAACAGGAGTAGGTATAACTTCTTATTATTGCCTGTGCTTGGTGCATGTCAGATTTGATGTTTGTTCTGTTTTGTATTTTGATTGTGTGCCACCTTATCATGAGATTTGCACTGCATACTGTAGCTGTGTAATTATAGGCATGTTGGAATATTTAATGCGGAAGGGATAGAAACTCAAAATAACAGCTGATATACATGTGCAGACTGTAGTGCAGGTCACATCAGGTTTCAGCCACTCTGCTCCTGGAAGATTCCACAAAACTTTCACAAGGGAAAGGCAAAGATCAAACATAGTAAAGATGTTGATCTCCATGGTGTCATACCTTCAGGAATAATAATAGAAGTGATGAATCAAGAACTGGTTGATAAACTGTTCTCCAGACATTTTCTTGGAGGTCTGCGTGGCTGACACCTACCGTGGCGTCTGTTAAGATTGTTCAACTGACAAGACTGAAATCTTAACTGTGTGCATTCTACTTCTTTTTCTTCTCTGCTGCTATCGGCTGTGGTAGGCCTTATTGAACTCTCTGACAACCAGCAGTCTGTTGATATGGAGAAAAGCAAGTCACCCACTTCAGGTAACCTGGCCTCACACACACACACACACACACACACACACACACATTTCAGCCAGTGCAAACTCCACCTTCCCTATATGGAAATATATCTTGCTATTGGCACTGTGAAGTTTTGTTGGGGTGCCACTGTCTCTGCCATCACCAGAGCATCTTGACTTTACGAGAATGACAGTTGTCATTGGCAACTCATATTCAGTGTTGTATTTAAAAAAACATTCACGATTTCCTGAAGACCTCATCAGTAGAAAATAGTTGGTGACAATATCTAACATAGATATCAGGCAGTGTGGTAGAAGTACACTGTGATCTATTTGATGCATTTGGCTGCAGTTTTCAGCTGGTTTCCTTTTCCACTGCTGTGTGATGATTATACTGTATGCTTTCACAAAGGTAATGTTAGCAAGAGCAATTAACACATTTCACCTGGTCTCTCTTTTGGTTTGTCTCTTTGAGCTTCTTATATGTTCAACTCTTCTATTCTTTGTCTGAGTGAACTGGGCATGAAGGTAGCTCCATGTTTAAAGATATAGAGAGAAAAGTATAAGGAAAGCAGAGTATACGGATGACTAAAGAGACCTGGCCCCACCGCTTCTTTACTTTGAACTAAAGTACAACAGCTAATTGTGCTGGTGTTAACCTGCAGTTGATAAGAAGTGGCAGCAACCTGCATCATTTTACAAGATCAAGGCTTAAATACTCTACCTCTTCTCAGAGCTGTTTAAATATATATATTTTAATCATTCATAATATATTATAAATGCCTCCTGTGCATTGCTGTCACTTTACTCTTTTCTGGCATGTCAATGTGTGTGTGCAGAGCTTGACTTGCATTAGGTGCTACAGGATGTATAATGAAATAGACATGCTTCCTTAGACGGGAATGGTGTAATGAAGCATATAACGTACATGTCCTTAATGGTTTAGATAGCATTATAATCGTTATCCTGTCACCTGCTTCAGGTTTCAGGATTTGGAGATGTGATGGTAGACGGGAAGTAAAGTGCAAGAGATAAGCTTCCGTTATAAGAGGACAGTGGCTTGTGATGAATGTCACTGACCAGAAGAATTAAAGAGGTCACTGTGCACAGAATAATAGTTAGATGCAAGACGCTGTTAAACTATGAGCTTGTTTATAATATGTTGAGATCTGTGTTGTTGGAACAGGGCAGGTGAAGAGACAGAGGTGAGAGAGATAGAGAGAGCTACGAGAACATTTCCCAGCGGGTGCTTTTGTATCTGTCATGGAAAAACACGTTATCTCAGCAAATTCAAAACTTAAAGGTCAAATGAAGAGTGTAACTGAGCGTAAATCTGTGCTTAAGACACTGCCAACTAAACATGCTGTGTCCTCAAGGCACTATCTACTTTATGAGTCTCTAGCTTCCAAACAATTTATTTTAAGCCATTTTAACATGTTATGTAAAAAATTAAATATGATTTTCAGTTTAGGTCACAATATTTTTCTTTTATATAAAAGTTGGTAGATACATTAGGTGGATTTATGCACAAACAAATCCAGTATTCATAAAAAGTTTGGATGTTATTTTGGTCCAAAGTGTGCTTTTAACAAAATTTATGAAAATGCCCAACAAAAGCAAGATATTGCATCTGTCCATCATTCCCTCCTCAGTTTTTAAGGTTTCTTGCACACATAAAAAAGGAGCCCATGTTATGTTCAGTGGCATGTGACTCTCTTCTACATGGCTGTGATCATGTTGCAAGTCCTTGTTCGCGCTTTATAGTCACTACTATAAACTAAAGCAGCTTACATGTAGTATGTGTACTAATTCACTATTAATTCAGTTTTTTTAATTATTGTTACTGTTGTTTAAAATTGTTAGTCATCAAACACACTTCCATGGCTTCCTCTATTCATATTATCCAGATATTGGTTGTGTAACCCTTGAGCTTTCTCAAAAGCTCTCCTTTGTCTGTTCTCATATTTGTGTTCCCTGGTCTTTCCTTTGAGCTTCTTCACAGGAGAGCATGCGGACAGAATAAGAGAAAGAGGACAAGATGTTCTTTGATGTCTTGGCAGGGAGTCTATCAGCACTGTGATATAGACTGGGTCGTGGTCATGCTGTCCCATTACAGGCCTGTCAATTTCTAATTGGAGAGTTGGAAGAAAAGAAGAATTGTGGAGTATTCAGTAGGAGTAGAGTTTCAGAATCTGCAATAAAGATGGAAATGTTAATGATGATTAATAACAGCGCAGCTGAACTTACAATGTCAGTTTAAGTCAGTTTTGTACTTTTTTAAACAGTTTTTTCAACTTAAAAATCTTCAACATTAATGCGAATGTAAAATACATTTCAAGTGGTTAAGTCTGGAGACAAACAAAGCATCCTAGCTGTGCTCTGCCTGACAGGCAAAGAGTTCATGGTGGGGTTCGTGTCTATTCAGGGCCATATACAGAGTGTGGACAGCTTAAGGAAGCCAGCCATCATCCTGCGTTGCTCTGTGAATTACCCAGTAACTGCAGGCGTCTGTCTCACATTTTGCCTTTCCTGTCCTATCTTTCCTTTGTTCCTTTTGTCATTAGGCCCAGCATTTAGCTTTAACCCTGCCTGAAAGCCTTCTCCCTCCACATTCTTCCCAGTGTCTCCTTTTTTATGCCCTGAGGTCTGCTGTTTTGATTTGGGGTTACATGTTACATTTCCTTGGGCAGCTTTGCTGTAAATGTTGCTGAAGCAGTGCTTAAATGACCAGACTCAGTCGTGAGATGCCGAGATGCACAAGCTGAGATGCAGGTGATCGGTACCTGACCCGGCAGGATATATTTAGCTGTGGGCACGTCAGGGGAGAAAGAGAGGAGGTGATTACGTTGCTCAGCTTCGTGCAAATCATGGCACATGGAGCTAATAAAATATGCCTATCAGCAGCGACACCAAATAAGAAATATCCAAAATTAACAATGGTAAGTAATGGTCAGATAACCATGAAATAATGAGGAACTACTTGGTAACTAATCAGTATGATGTGTCACTTTACTTGAGGGGGCATTAAAAAAGGAAACTAATGAGCAAGTTGTTACTAATTTGTGCTGCTGAGCAGCTGATTAAGAGATAACCAGGATTGACTTGTGAAGAAAGGGATCATCATTCCATTTCACAGATACTTATGAACAAATCATTACCTAGTGATTCTTTAATATAGTATCTCCCAGTCTTTTCTCTAGTAACACATCATTATGTGCTGTGCAATCCTGCAGTCTGAGTTATACATGAACTACACTTTAACGATTCATTAATTGTCAGGTGGTTCCTAATTCTTAATGCATTACTCACATCTTTGTGTGTTATATTGTAATGTGTTACCCAAATTGCATAATACCTTATGCAATATCTTACCTCATGATACCTTATGGCCATGTACATGGAAAAACGTGCATCCTACTCTTTTACCATTTGACATAATGTTTTTTAATGACAAATTTTATCTTTTAGTTACTCCTACTATAATGGATGCCAATGATGGTTTATGGTGATAACTCATTGGGCCATATTTTTAATGAATCAAAATAAAAAAAAAGTGAATGTTGCAAAAATATTTTTACTTTCTGTTTCTATTGAGACACGTTTGGTCTTTTTTTTTTTTTGCATTGGGTCACATTGTTTTGTTACAATAACAAGCTGTCTTGTTTTAAAGTTAAGTTTTTAAAGTCGTCTCAGCCTTACCACAGGTCTATTTGTAGTGCAGTTTAAATTTCTGTTCTTCAGCTGCCACTTTTCTCAGAGGAGTTAGTCAGCAGTGACGCACAAAGCTGTTTCACCCCAGTGGCCCTAGTAGTCTTTTTTGGATGTGTGTAGAACGAGAGGATTGGTGGAAACAAGCAGTTGTTACCCAGGAACTGCGTGAACTGTGTGCCCCGTGATGTCGCCAAATCTAACGCTTCTGATGAGTTGCATTGTGTAAACTTAAACTGTGTCGAGGGTTACAATTAGCTAGTTCCTATGCATAAAATCACATAAAAAAACAAGTCATTTGATGATCCATTGTACAGTTAAATGCAGTGTTATGTGTTGCAGTCCCAAAGTGTATGTGTCACAAAGTCTTTTCAGGTTGGAATCCATTTCAAATGTATGTAAGGGTCTGATACTAGTGTTTGTCGGAGGCTCTGGGAGTTGCTATAGTAGGGCTAGGAACTACACTTTAAATAAAGTCTATACTGGCCGTGTCACATCAGCAGCCTGTTAGCAGTGTGAGTCCTCAGTCAGTGTTCCTGATGCTTCTAGTCTGTCATGTTTCTGCAGTAAGAAGCTTTTTTTATGATTGTTACTGATGATGGTTCAGCCAGTAATTGTCTTTCTGCAATGTCAGGTATTTGAATGTGACTGTGAAATGATTAATGACATTTATTAGCTTGAAATACATTTATCAAAATTTAATATCTTTTTGTAATTTAGAAGGGGGTGGTTGTGGAGCTGTCGTTTTTGATATTAATGGGTGTGCTTGTGAAAACGTCTTTCTAGTGGAATAGGGTTGTCCTTAACATTCCTAATAGCCTTTTTGTTTTTATGACCTCTCAACTGTTTTCCTCCCTTTTAGCTGCAAACTTCTCCTTTCCCCAGTTCACCCACTGTGTGTGTCTTTGCCCTCTTCCCTCAAAACTCTGTATCTGTTCTGTTGGATCTCCTATTCCAGCTCATTACCCAACCTCCCTTCACAATGACCCACGCGTCCTGCCAGAGCCTGTTGCCAGCCTGAGAGCCAGCCACTGCAGTCCAGTCTATTACTTACTGGACAATGGTAAGAGGAGGGGGCATCGCACAGATCTCAGCGCCTTCATCAACATCTGCTAGTGTGTGTGTGTGTTTCTTTTTTGTTTGTTTGTTTGTTTTTTAATGGCAAACAATGCAACAGTGGAGGGAGATGGGATAATTGGGTTGTGTTTTTGGACAGGTGGTTGGTTTGATGTTGCACTTTGCATGCTAACTCTGCTTTACATTGTGAGCAACACTATCAGCAAGACACCAGAAGCCTGTATATTCCTTACCCAAGTATACAAGCAGGGAAAGTTTAGGTAGTTAATAAAACATTGGTGGCTTCAAAACAGTAATCTGTGGTACAGCCTCTTATGGTCAGCGTCCATCAGGAGCACGGGTGGGTGGGAACATGGATCTGGACCTACTGAAAGGTTAACAGTTAGCAGTGACAATGACTACAGTGTATACAGGCTTAGTGGGGGTGATCCTATAAGTGAACATTAAGCATCACTGTGTTATACAATAAATCATCTTATTTTTATAAAGATATCATAGGTGTAGTTCACGTGCTTTGTCACTGTGTTCCAAGCGTTTGTGCAGATGACTGCTAATGTTGCACTGTCTCTCCGCCCCAGCTGCAGGGGGGCAGGTGTTGTGATGTTTGCTGTATGTTATCTCAGATCCTTCATCATTCGGCAATGCTGTAATGTAAACAGATTTATGACAAGGAAAGGGTTATATTTCAGCCGGGTAGTTCTCCTCTTCACTCGTCAGTGCCTTCCATGCTTCATTCTCTCTAATGATAATCATTGTGCCTCCACTGGAGCTACACATATTTCTAAAAGGCAACATGATACTCTACCAGACTGTGGCGCTAGAATCTCTCTAGTTGTGTCTTTCTGACTGTGTCAGTATACCCATAATCTTATCTTGTTTTCCTCTCCACTAACATTCATCACTGTTTTGTCTTTAACTAAGTGCATGGTACTTATGTGGACAACTTCGGCTTGCTTTGAGCATTTATCACTGTTGTGGCATGGTCAAGTCCAATATTAGCTGCATGTGGGATCTAAGCACTCCATATGCGAACCTCAGGATAAGTAAAGCTGTTGTTTTTTATCTTTCAAATTAGTAGTGTGATTGTCTTCGGAGGTATTTTTGTTATCCCACCAGATTTTCTTGTCCATACTGACAGAAAAAAAAAGCAGAGTGGAGCAGTGCATTCTGTGGAAATGTCTGATTTAAATATTGGTTTTGCCCCGGGCAAGTGGTTACTCTTTCCAGAAAGAAAGCAAATATTTATGGGGTCACAAAACCTCCTTTAAAGGTGCTACCTACTGCTGAGTAACAAGTAAAAAGAGATTTAAATTTTGCTATAGGGATAGCTATGTGAAGTAAAGTAGAGAGTGAGGTCACAAATGGGGTTTTAATGTTGTGTAAACAAGATATCCATTACACAGTGTAAAGTACTCTGGCCATGAAGAAAAAAATGCACAAACATTACAGTCATAACATAACACAAACTAGGTGATTATTTTTTCAGATTTTGACAAAACACACAATGAATCATGATACATACAGTGTATGGTTGGGTGTTTTTCATAAACAACCTGTGGGCTCCTGAGCTAGATCCCACCTGTTCATTTTGATTAAAATATATTTTATGAACTATTAATGCAGGCACTGAGCTGTTAAACCTGTGTGTAACAGGTTTATTATGAGAACATTTTCTCTGTCACTGTACCCAGAACACTGCACATTCCATATTGTTGCAGAGCATCTGGTTCCCACAGTTTATTACGACACACACAGCTTTTCTGTTATCTCAGTAGCAACACCTGCAACAAAAAAAAAGTAGAAACAGAAAGTCACTGATTAAGAAATTCAATTAGAGCACCACTTCATTTCATATTTTGCAATACAGAAACTTTATTTTTCCTCAAAATAACATTTGACACTGAGCTGCCTATATGGTTCATCACATTACATTACAGTAGGTTAATATAAATAAAACAACAACAACTCTGGCCATTCCCTTCAGTAGGCCCTACATCTTCTGCTGTACTCTTTTCTTTCTGGTAGTCTAGAAGGAAAAGGATCGAAACCTGAGTCAACTTCTGTTTTTCAAAGGAATCACCATCATTTCCTTTGATTCATTTCCCAAATCTGAAGTAAAATGAAAATGGTCAAAATTATAAATAATGCAAACCATGGTCATGCTGTTTTCATCATGGTCATGAAATTGCTCAGGTCTCTCATGTAAACACCATCCTGGGTTATTTCACATTTATTACTCAACACAAAGAAACAATGAAATATTGCCTTCTTTTTGAGGGGAAACGTGTCTCATAACATCTCAACTCCAACCTTTGCAGTTCTCTGCTTACTGCAAAATGCTTGCAAAATGTTTAAATGAGTTATTTTGTTGCCTCCAGTGTCTGACTGTGACTTTTCTATTGGCACCCAGTGGTGTTGCCCTGTTTGTTTGTGTTTCCATGTCAGACATCCCGGGCCTTAGCAAACCTGACATTTAAGGGACATATAAGCAGAAGAAAGATGTATGCAAAGCAGACATATTTGAGTAAGCAAAGAGTTTAGGAATGTGCACTGGGATTCAAATTGGACCTCAAGAGTAAATTCAAGTATGTTCCTCTTGCCTTGTTACAACTGAACAAGATAATGTCTACTGTAATGCTATGTACAGTACTCCATTTAAATGTTAGACAAAAAGACAACACCTTCTCCAAATGCTTGATCATTTCATTGGACGAGACCTTTATCGGTGACCAAGTATTCCTTGTAGAAAAAGCTGGGAACACTGGCCTGGGACAACAATGGAGAATGTACAGCATCTTGAAATATGCCTGCTGTGTGCAACTGTAACAGTTTGCACATTCTGGTTCTTTATTTCATTTTGGTTAGCTTTTTTTTTCCTTTGGCACTTTTGTTTTTGTCATTCTTTGACTTAGAATGCACCTAGTTTATATTTTATGATTTATTTTTATTTGTTATTATTTTTGTTTGAAGGGATTAACTCGTGCTTTGTTTCCTATTCTTTTGTTTCAGTAAAGGGACCCGGCAGAAAGTTAAGTCTGCCAACAGATCTTAAGACTGATCTTGGTACGGTAGGCGAAAGCCAGAGTTTTCACTTGATTTCCTTTGAGTCATTTAGTTTCTGCTTTTTGCCATGTTTTCTAGGCTTCTGTGTTGCTTTAGCAGTTTTTATTCTCACTCAAAGCTTCTTTTTCAGTTCCCTTGTCACTCTCTCCTCCTGTTCAACCAGCCCATGAGACTGTCGGCCTGAAGTGTTTGCCCATTTTTACCCCTTTAATGTGTTTTTATTTAAATCCCCTGTATATGTTTCTTCTACATTTTGCAAGTGTTTATAAAGGTGATTTGTAACCCATGCCCATATTTAAATTTGAGGCTTTATCGCTGTATCATGATTGGACCATCTTCTGATTTTACACAACCTTTCCTCCATTGATAATCTTGCTCTACAGTGATTGGGCCACTCACTACTGCTCTCATTTTAACTGGATCATGTCTCTCTTAAACAGTCTTCTTTTCATTATAACTGGATCATCTGCATTACAGATACTGAGCGTTGCCCCATGCATCTCCGACCGCTGCATACACATCAGTCTCAGGTTTCTCTTTGCTCTGTTTCAGCAGCATCACACATGCTGTCCCTTCCAAACACTTCTGCTTCTTTAACATGAAAATGTGCCCGTGAATATTTATTCCTGTGACTTGTCTCATTGAATGGCCTTGCTTCATCTAACAGGTTTAAAAAATACGTTTGTTCTTTTTATTATTATTTTATTTTTGCAGCACTTGCAGCAAACTTTAAAAGGAACAGCCTTAATCTTGGTTGCCTCATCACACATTTAGTATCATTTAATACCTCAGTAAATTTCCTGTGGGGTCCACACATGCCCCTGAAGTGTCACAATTATGTATTTTGTCAGTAAACTTGGTAAGTAAGTACATGTTACAGCATGGACCTACTAACTGCTGTTGATTTTGACAACAAAATAATTTGTTGGAACAGTATGTTATAAAGAGTGCTACTCTGTTTGTGGTTGTGTTCGTCTGTGTGTGTCTCTTGATGCATATGTACATTAATCCGTGTGTTGGAGGAGTGTGTGTTTTACAGTACAGTGAAATTCTTTCTTCCAAGTAACTTCCTGCAGAACATTTTGGGGCAAATGAATGATTTGAAATTCACAATAACAAACCATTAAAGGAGATTCACAGTGGTGTCGACACGTGGCTCTCTTGTCGGTTGACCCGATATCACCTTCAGTTTTCAATCCCTATATTGCCTCGGCCCATCCCACTGTGAAACTGAGCGAGCGTTGCACGGGGACTGGGTGGCACCCTGGAGCTTTTCATCTTCACTTTGAAATTGAATCATGTGTGCATCAACCAGCTGAACAGTAGACTAGATTTGTTATGACAGACATATGATCAGTGTCAAATGCTAAGAGGAGGGTGACAAGGTGGCACTTTCCAGTGTTTTTACTAAGTAACACAGTGTTATATTCTCATGGTTAATGGGATTCAACATAGAAGAAGTTCAGAAAGGAAAGGTAAGAAATAAATATGACTAGCTTGGATCACACCTTCATCTCAACTCCCAAATCAATTTAAGTTACGTCCACAGAGATGCCGCTAAAGGAAAGAACACTTTTTTATTTAAGCGTGTCTCAAGACAACTGGGAGTAATCAGGTGCTGGTACCATAAAGCTGTTAATTACAGCTGTCTTGGCAGTTTGTCTTGCCAAGTAAAATGTAGGCAACAAGGAACTGCAGAGTCCACCCAATCCACACAATCCTGCTTTGCTTTTCTTTGTCTCATTAATAAGCGTTGGCTCTAAACAAAGCATTTTGCACACACACGTATAATCACTGTATATTTAGTGAGGAGAAAGCATCCAACAGACCAGGTCCCCGAGGGGAGGACATGCAAAGCTACAATTCCAGAAAGTAACAAGTGTTTCCTGTCAGCACCATCTGTAGCTGCTTGTGTAGCCAAACCAATTTAATTTGAGCATGAATTTGCATTGTAATAACAAAGCAAACGTGTCTTTTATATATTCTTTTGATTTCCACTTGTAGCTTTTTGAAATAGCCTGTAATGACATAAAGCTCATGATCTTTAAAGTAAACTCTTTCTGTTAAAACAAGGTCTTCTAACAGTTCACAAAGAAAATAAAGAAAGAAAGTGGAGATGAAACAAGCCTGTTTTCTTTTTTTTTTTTTTGGTTTTCTAGTTCCCTGCACAAACTGGGTGAACCTGCACTTTCAATATGCCTTTATATTTTCTTATTTTCTTTTGCCCCAGCTTCTCTTTCTCCTTCCTGCTCATACTTCACACTACTCTCTAACCCTGTGTTGCTCACTCTTGCTTTCCCTTTCTCCCTCAATACCATCTTTCTTGTTAACAATCTGATTTAAAACATCAGCTTGCTTCTCTTACTCTGTAAAACGATCCATCTCCATAGGTCATATGGTTTAATACTGAATAATTAAGTGTAGAGATAGAAAAATCTCCCAATAGGGTGAGAAGACTCCAGCTATTTCCTTGAAAACAGATAAAACTGCATTATAAATAAGTGAAATCCTCTCCCCTCATTGTGAATTTTCTCCCTTGTTTTTATTAAATCATTATTTCACTGCTCATTATTAGGCTAAATGTCTTATGAAGATGGATGTTGCAGTAGAGGATTAGAATATGTTTGAAAGTTTCTTTAGTTCCCTCTTTGTATTGTTTGCTAATGCTTTGCCGTTGTTACAGATCATGTCAATGGACATTGCACTAGCCCCACATCCCAGCCCTGCTCGGCAGGGAAGCCTCGCGTCCCGGTGGGTCCCGAGGGGCCACGGCTTGCCCGCAGAGGCCCTGGCCGACCACCCTTCCGCAAGGCCCAGTCTGCTGCTTGCATGGAGATCTCTTTGCCTGTGTCCCACACTGAAGGTGTGTGCTTGTTTTCCCAAATCCCCTCCTTAAACCTCTATAACATACCCTTCCTCCCAACAAGTGCATGCCATCCTCTCACCCTGGGGTAAGTGAAGTAAGGCCTGATGCATAGTTAACACAAGGCGAGCATGTGCTAATGCAAGTTAGCAGCTTAAAAATTTTAATCATGCTGTCGATTCCTGGAGTGGACGCTGTAAGGTATACAGTCAATAGATAGCAAATACATTCACCAAAAACATTTCATTATTGTTTCTGTTTGCTAAAACCCTCCAGTTATAACTCAGCAACCATGCTGATGTCTGTCGAGTGGTGGATTTCTCTATATTGAAGTGATGTACATGGTGCTGCAGTAGTAAGAGCAATACTTGCAACCTAAAGAGTGCAGATGATGTGTATTGCAGCCTTTCAAAACAAACAAACAAACAAAATCATTGTATCAAACAGCTGCAATACATAGTCTTCACATGATGTCACATCCTTATAGGACCGCCCAACTGGAGGGTAAAACAAGGCTTTCTTGTACTGGCCTCCACTTAGTTTTGCAAAAATGCCAGATAGACTGTGGAGAAACTCTTTTGGTTAGATTTATGTTATAAGAAATTGTTTTAACATGACCAAAATATTACAGCCTTGACTACAGCGACCGTTATGTGGCTAATCAGCACTAGCCTTCACTTCGACACTGAAGAATTCTTGTCCTTCACCTCCCAAACAGGAGCAGTATTGACCCATCCACACCTAAAGTATATATAGCTATCTGGACTTTTGGAAGCTTTCAGAAGGAATTCTCCACAAGATGCAGCCTATAATCTGCCAGTGTAGTGCTCTGGCTGGGACTTTTTTAGCTACTGAAATACTACTTGCAGGTGCTGTATATGGATCGCAAATGCCCAGAACTTGCCGTTTGTTCTCATATCTTTGTTTTTCCTTTGGTGTTTAGGTGATCTAAATATCTATTGCTTGAAAGAGAGTAGCGGCTCTTTGAGCGGAACAGATCTTATGGCTCTGCTCCTTTCAAAAAGGTTAATTGTTCCTTTATTCTTTTTTTTTTTTAAACACATCTATGGAGAGACGTAAGTGCTGAAATGCATCCAGTTTGAGGTCTGTGTGCCCATTTGACCAAGTGTGGGACACACAGAGTGCAGGGCAGACAGAAGGATGAAGCCTGCGCTTTGATTGAATTCACATAAAATCCTGCTTATTTGTGCTTTAGAATGTAAGTGAAATAATCAGAACACAATGTTATATTTCTCTAATTTACTGCTTTGTTTTGTTAGCGCTGCTCTCTCTTCATTCACACACTAGCTCGCTTGGCTACTGCTGCTTCTCTTTCTATTGGTGGGGTAGATTTAGAACTCAGAAACTGAAATTTAGACACCAAAAAAATGTATAAATAAAATAAACGTTCCCAATAATGTCACAAGAATGACAGTGTTTTGTTTGTTCCTACCAACCTGAATAGAATCACTAAGAGGCCTACGAGTGGCCAATGTTGGCTGCCAGTTTGGAAAGGTTTGTTTCACTCTCCAAGGCTCTGTGCCAGTGACACGACTGAAAACTATGAATTGGCTGCAATTAGCATGCCGGACTGATTAGTATACAACGTACAGTAATCACTGAGCGACCAGCTGAGAGTTACTGACAACAAGCCAGATGAACATGATGACTATTACTGTTGTATGTTTACACCAACTGCAACAATTTTATCATATGCAACTGTTCATTTAGCAATGTTTGAATTTACTTTAAATGTATTTCTGCAGCTTGCATTAGTGTCCCTTTACATCTTTTGCTTCTTTTGAATGCAAGAAACAGCCCTTGCATTGTGTCCCTTATTACTGTGCTTGTGTCAACCATGTGTCAGGCCTAAAGGTTGGTGCAATTTTAAGTGTCTTAACCAACTGATTTTTACTTTTTCAGTGCCTTTCTATCTCTGTGTTCTCTCTGCATAAAAAAGTCATATATTGTTTAGGCTTGTTGTTTGGTATATTTTACCATTCTACTCTTACAACATGACAACAAAAGGGAAAACAGCAAATATGTGCTTTCAAGCAAAGCCTTAAAAAGATGCTTTCAGTAGTGTCATTTTAAGATAAGGACCCGGGAACTGACAGAAAAATGGCCTCCACCTCAATTGTATGAAAACATTTAATTGCAGATTGAAACCTTGCACTTAGTCTGTCACTGCCAGCCTACAGACATCAAGACGCCAATGCAGGACATTCGCTGACTTTGAACGAATAGCATCCTCCCACTCAGACCAAATGGGAGCCACATCTTTCATCTTATCAGGACACCAGACATTGTCCTGTACTAGACATTTTACTTGTCTAGATTTGGACCTAATTTTCTTTAGGTAGAAAAAGGCCACAGTGAAATATCTCCAGGCACAACTGTGAGTTGAACTTAGCTGTACTTATAATGATTCACATTGCTGGGTCGTAGTCTGAAGGTGGTGAAAATAAAAATGTGGTTGGCAGACACTAGCCAAAATGACTGCAGGTTTAAAAGGTGGGTGAGCCATAAAATCTGACAGACATGATGACTGACCCTGGAGGGAGAGAAGCTATTTAACACTGAGCTGCTCTAATTTAAAATGTGGAAATTGAAAATTTACTTTACTGCCACTTTAAGTAGCAGATTGCCAGACAGAAGAACTATACTGGGAGCATATGTTCATGTAAGTCAGTCAAAGTCTTCATCCATCCATCAGTTATCTATACCGCTTATTCCCGAATAGGGTCGTGGGGGGGCTGGAGCCAATAAGTCTCCATGTTATTCATATTATATTATTCATAGATGCCACTATCTGTGCTGCTGACTCATTAACCCAGTGCACTACCAACACTGCATTGCTAACATATACAGTAGTGCTGAGGCATCATATACAGTGTAAACTCATAACCGTAAGGAAAGTACAATTCTGGAAAGCTCTGGCTGGGCAGGTCACTCACTCATGACCGAGTCTGTTTTTACTTATGGTCAGGGCTCTGTCAGATTAACTGAAAGTCTCCTTAAGGTCACAACAAGGTCATTTTCCATAGGAGACTCAACACTGTGACAAATTGTAGCCACCCTTCACAAACAACAGCTACTGGTAGCAAATGTTGACAGCTGAAAGTAAGATTGTATTCCTAAATCACAGTTCCTTCACATCTGTGCTCTGCTATAATAAGGTCATAAAGATTTTTACTTTGGACCACCTATATGTTTCTATTGCCACACATTGTACTGGAATTTAACATGCTAGTGCAAAATAATGATGCTTAGTAAACAAAATAAGTCCAGTGCTGTTTGTTGAGTCACAAATGACCCTTTTACACCAATTCTGCAATTAGATTCACTCTTCTGTCTTCATCGACCTCATTATACAACACTGACCTGGAGCCAAGAGGGAAGCGGTTTTTCATTAGCAAAAACCTGAATGTTTTATTAAAGCCACTGCTTCACTACAGCTGTATGATCAACCAGACCAACACAGACAGTGGTAGAAATCACCCTTTTCTATAACATCTGAAAATATCCACTAGAAACTGTTTGGCAGATGACTTGAGTAATTTAACAACAAGCTTTGCACTAATTTAGTATAATGTTCATATAGAATTGTAGGTATAAACTGTAGCAACATGGCATTGCAGTCTTATGGCATGAAAGATTTCAGTACTATATGTTTTGGCACAATTAGTAGAGCCATTTTATCCAGGTAGACGAGGTTGTGAGACTCTAGAGACGTCAGCTGATTACTAAACCCAAACCATCGGCTTGCTGCATTATTACACTGCACAGTGTGATTAGATCTCCACAAGCTGGACTATGTTGGCAAGCTATCAGAGTAAAAAACAAAAAGTGTGAGAGTCAGCTCTTTAGCTTCTGTCTGACATAAAAGAAGCATGCCATTGTCTGTCTAAGGGATAGCCACCTTGCCTCCGTGTGCCTGAGTGGACGTCAGTGTCTTCTTTCACATGGCTCTGAAATAGTTTGGAGAAAGTGGCTCTGCCTTGAATCATTTTGCAGCGATTATCAGTGTGAAAAATTTGACATGGTATGACAAGAGGGTCCTTTAGCTTTCTGTGCAGAACAAAAAGGGTGTTAGACATGCCCTCTGGGGCAGCATTAAGAGCAAAAGCTGTTGTACTTTGTCATAGTCATTTTGTCATTTATATACCTCCCAGTGCATTAGGCTCTATGATATATCATTGGCCCCATACAATCCTCCTGTATTTCAATGGCCTGATGGGCTATTCAGTTCTGATGCATCTGTCTGAGTCAGTCCGAACACACCACCAGCTTTCCTCTGGTGCCAGCCTCTGATCAAAATGTCAGCTTGGTGCACAAGATATTACATAATCTAATAGGCTGCTTGCTGTGAAGTTTTCTAAGCACAGTTAGGCTTCCATCACTTCCACACTGGGCCATGTAAATTAATATTGTACCTGCCACATACCACTTGCAGGGCTTTTGAACAGCATTGAAGATATTGTACAATACCGTTGGATTTGTCTGTTAAAGAAAGCTACAGATTTAGTATGGATTGAACTGTCCATGTTTGAGATTTGTTTAGAAACTAGTGCAAGCTTAAATAATGACATACAGTATACAAAAACAGTTTTTTTGTGTTGTACTTGGGTTAGATGTGTTCTGTACAGTAGTTCAGTATTTCTTTGCCTTTACTGTAATTGTCTTGATTACTATTTGGATGTCACACATACAGTGCAACTCACTAACGGTATGGGATAGGGAGCAGGTATGTTTAAAAAAATCAAGAATAGCCACAGTGAACAGTCAGCAGACCTTGCATATTCTCTGATTGCTGCCTTGCTTTTGGCATCGTTGTTTATCAGTTTCACTCAGTTACCACAGTGAAGAGCCAGCAGGATCACTGGAATAATTAAAGGTCAACAAGCAGTGTGAGAGATGAAGCCGATGTTAATGAGGCCTGCATGCCAGGAGAGGAGACAGGGGAAGGAAATGCAGGGGAAGCCATACCCAATGTACAGTAAACATTTTCATACCTCCCAGCTCGGTTAGGCAGTACACCTATTAAATATTGAAGATACAATGGTATGATACTTGGTAACAAGGATGATAGCGGTTGCTTATGGAGAAGAAAATCTTTAAGAAAACGATTCTGTGTTGATTTGTTTGTTAGTATAAAGGGAGGGTGTGTTGTCTCCTCACAGTGTAATCCCTAAATTAAGTACAAGCTACAAACAACATTATGGTATTGCCTAATATAGATCTTTGGCAAGTAAAAGAGGCAACAGCAACAGATCTTTGGTGGAGCCACCATGGATCAGACCTGTTTAAGCATCTGGTTGCTCCTTGGACCACTAGTGGGTACCCACCAGTGCAGACTGGGAGCACCTCAAAAACTTTGACTCAGTTGTCTGATCATAATGATTTACCTCAGTCATTTACACCTATCCATTTTTCTTGCATCCAACACACTGACTACAAGAACTGACTATTCATCCATCCATTGTCTATACCACTTATCCTGTAGAGTGTTGCAAGGTGGCTGGAGCCACCTGGGTACACCCTGGACAAGTCACCAGCGTATCACAGACCAACTGTTCAATCACGTCTAACATATCCCACACTTAAAACAAGATGATTATTATTTGTTTCATCTGTGAATGATCTGAATGTTTTGGCTTATCTGTGCACAGAGTTGAGGTGATTCACTATCTACCTGGTCAGAAACCAAAGAGGCTTTCAAACGACAGTCAAGTCTGCACCCACGCACGTACACCTACACCATGTTTGAATGAGAGATTTAAGACCAAATACTGAAGCTATAGGCCTTCTATTATTTGCCTTTATGATATTAGAAGTCTCTGATGGATATCTATAATAAGTGATTTAAGCATCCTAGCTGATAAAATGCTTCACTTTGAGGTCAAAGACTTCTTAAACTCCAATTAAGCACATAATTAAATTTCAGAAAAATCATCAGATACACTTTTTTATCGGCAGTAAAGCAAAGCTTGGCACAATACTGTATTCACGGTCATAAGTGGCACAGGTATATGAAAACAGATGTTAAGGAGAGTCTTTACATGTTTGTCCTTGTTTCTTTAAAGTGTGTGCCGGTGTATATGCATGTACCACTGTAAGAATCTGGCCGTAGTCTGTCTCAGTGCTTCACATTGCCTTTCCTTATCACCTGCCTAATACTACCTCGCATGTCTCTGTCTCCCTGTAAGGGCCCTCCGGGGGTCACTGTGTCCTGTCAGAGCACCACTATGGCAGACTTTCATTAGCCAGCACCCCACAGGCTTTGTCACACAGTGTAAACACACCCCAGCAGCACACAGCCAAACCAAGATGCTGCTATCTATTAGAGCAAAACACCATTTTGTCTTTGTCAGCAGTACTGTACAGCAACATTGACACAATACTAGAAATTTTAATAATAACATCTAATACTGTGTATTGACACTGCTCTGATACTGTGGTAAAGAACAACAACAGCACAACCTGAATTTCCATCCTTGAGGTCCTCAGGTTTTCAGCACCACCTGTGCTGGGGTTTTCAGGCCAGTTTTGTGTTGAATCGGTTATACCAGTTTTGTAACCAGTTTGTAACTGGGTAAACTGGGATCTGCTCTAAAATATTTGTACTTGCACCAGTATCTAAGAAAGCAGTATCATAATTTTGGTTGTCATGCAACAGTGATGTACAGTAGCTCTTTACTGACCACACCATCAGTGTTTAGTTGAGCAGATGGTGCTGAAAAGGGGTTAGGAGAGAAAAGGGATATGTGAATAAAGGTTGCGTGGCCTCCAGAAACATAGCCTCTTTTTTCTGTCACTGTCTGTCTCTGTATATATTTGAAAAAGTCTCTCCACACTCAGTTGCATCTTTCTCTCTTCCCTTTTCTTTCATTCTCTGGTACTGCTGTTCATCTGTTCGTCTTCTGTCTGTTCCGTGGCTGGGTGGCTGCATGGCTGAACTGCGTGCGTGCGTGCGTGCGTGCGTGCGTGCACGCATGTGAATGTGTATGTTTGTGTCTATGGGTCATGGCGGGTGTGGTTTGTTCTGCGGGGTTCATGTTGTGGGGGATGAGTAGGTTATGCATCCAGGAGGGCAATGCTTCAGCAGTTACATGGAGTCACTATGTACTCCCATGATGAGCACCACACCACCGCCACCCCCTACTGCTGGAATGAGAGAGGTAAGGGGGCTTCGGCCACAAACCTGTCCACTGCTGTCCTGCTGACTAATATACGTTCGTCCATCCGTCAGTCAGTATGTCAGTCCGTCCTGTGGCCCTGTTTCATCTAAAACATGCCTAGAAGTGCTTGCTCTTGTCTTGAGGTGTAGGAGCTGGACAGCTAGTAGTGTATGTTTTGCAGGCAGCATACATTTTGTTTATACAGCACCCATCTGGAGTGGTTACATAAATCTGCACTCAGAGTAACATTTGGCTGGAAGTGCAGTACTGCACATTGCCTGGCTCTGAATAATTCAGAATTGCAGCGATACAGAAATACTTTTATGATGGAGGTTTTAAGTTCATAATGGAGGACCTGAATGGGTAGCACTCAAATGGAGTTAAAGCAGTTTTTGAATTTGGTACAACTGCCAGTGTGTGTGTGTGTGTATGTGTGCGTGCATGCATTCTCATGTGTGTCTGCTTGTCAGCGTTTGTCTGTGTGTGTGTTTGTTTGTTTATGCAGAGGTGTGAAAATATGTTTGTCTAGTTGTCTTTTTGTAATGTTTGATCACCTTGCCTTTCACTGTATTCACTTCCTTTCAGTGACATTTTCCTATTTGTTGCAGTGTTTTACATGACACAACCTGTAAACAAGCCATGTTTGACTTTTAAAATATCACACTCTCTTGCTCCTCACTGAATACCTTTTTCTTTTTAAATGCTTGTGTTGTCATACCACAATTTGTCTTCTTTGTCCACTGTGTTGCCTTTTCCTTCCACCGCTCTCACTGCTGTCATAAATGTCTTCATTCCAACACTGTTCTCTTTCTTTCCTCTTTCGTCCTTCCTTCTCTTGTCACTGCTTCATGTCTTTCTCCACCTGCATCAATTCTGCCTGTGCTGTGCTGCTGTGGTTGGCCATTGCTGCAACAGAGAACCGTGAAAACTCCTTCAGCCGCTCTCGCAGCTCCAGTGTGTCCAGCATCGACCGGGATACCAAAGAGGCTATCACCACTCTGCAGTTTGGAGAGTCCTACGTGCGCAAGAGTGACATCCTGCCCACACCATGTTTGTGGGTGGGCACCAGCTTAGGCGTTGTTCTTCTCATCCCAATGTCCATTCCCACTGACGAGGAGGAGAGGATGGAGGAGCTTGTCACCGTTGGCCCCTGTGGTAAGTCACAAAATCACGTATCCGGTATTTTACAGAGGATTTTAGTCACTCTAACAATAGTTATACACTGTTTTCCTGCACAAACAAAGATTATCACTAACATTTATCATGTGCTCACTTTTGGTTTTACCACCTCATATAGTGTTTGGCTGAGCTATGTATTTACAGCTGACTGCTTGCTACAATGTTGCCACTATATTCCCAAATCTCAGCAGTAATTTGGTGACACATGAGAAAATGCAGTGTTGATGCAAAGCGTGGTTAAAAAAAAAAAGCACTGTAATTTCCAGAAGAATAAGGTGCACACTTTTAAGCTCTGTGAGCAACATTTGACAGCTCGACTCTCCCTGCCCTTACTCATACTGAAGGGCTTCTAAAGCCTCATCTGTGTCAATTAGAGCAGAATTTGTTGTCATGGAGAACTATGACGGGCATTTGTCATGCACGGTCATGCATTGACTTCTTCTGTTCTCAAGAGCAAGGATGTATGTAGCCCCATTGATTTTGCACTATAACTAAGAAGTCCTGCTGTGTGAGGAAAAAGGTCTCCTTCTCAGAGGAAAAACAGCAATTGAACCAAAAATCGAGGTCCTTTGAACCAGCAGTTGTTCTGTTGAGACTAAACATAGAAGAAGCAAGCTTATTACTGGAAGGTCACAGATTCAATCCCAAGGAAGAAGTTCATTTCTTATGCAGAAAATATTGTCTTTGTCAAAAATGTCAGCATACTTTAGTGCATGTGTGAATAATGGATTACTTTGTAGCCAAGAGTAGAAAATGAGTTGTTCTAGGTTTCTAAATGTGAATATGTGAACTCTTGTGATTAACCTATCTCCTTCATTACTGACATTCGCAGCCTCATTTACTTTTACATGTAAAGTTCAATTATTCTCTGCCTCATGCATGAAACTGGGTCATAATAGAGATAATACTGGTTTGAGGTTGTTATTTTCATCTTCTTGGCTTGTGGTAGTATTGTCCTGTAGCTTTGAGAATTCTAGTTTCAGGCCTTATGAGCTCCCTGGTTTTCTTTATTGACTCTGTCCAAACACCCCTAGGAGCGGTCCTGATGCTGAAGGGCTCAGTGTTGCGCTTTGGCTTCTTGGACTGCATGGGAGCATTTATTCAGAGCCCTTACGAGGTTTGGCGAGATCTGAATGCCCCCGAGGACCCTGATCGACCGCGGAGGCGCAAGCTGGTCCACTTTTCACCATCATCCTCCCAGGATGCCTATGGAGAGGGACATCTGGCTGTGCTGTGCTCTGAGAGACAGGCCAAAGTGTTCTTGATGCCCTCACAGTCTTGCCTCTTTGTCCACAACATAACTGAGTCGTCCTTTGTACTGCGAGCCGATGTGGTATCAGTGTGTAACAGTATTTGTCTGGCCTGCTTTTGTGCAAATGGACACATCATGATGCTCAGGTACATGTGTTAAGTTGCTGCTCAATGTTTGAACTCAAATTGCATCTGTCTTAATAGATATTTTTATGCTGCTGAATTTTTGGATTAGACTAGAGCTGTGCCATTAATTGTATAATGATTGAGATAACAATTTTGGCATTCACAGTCACTTAGACAGGTTGAGTACAATACTGACCCTTTGCATTTAGATTTCCTGCTCTGATGCATTGACTAAAGTATCTCCTATTCACAGGTAAAAGGTACATCTTGCAATGCATTTTTAAAATCTGAACACTGACTAACTTGTCTCTGGATACAGGCAAGAATGTTTTATTGTCTATGCAGAGATAACTCCAGTTAACTTGGGTGGATGCTAATGGGGGTACTGTGTCCTGTTATATTTATACATCTTCCTTCCAAGAACATTTCCTTGTTATTTGAATTACATTGTAAGTTTAAAGGCAGTTTCACATTACTCACGCCGAACTACAGTGTTGCAAAAAATGTACCCCTATACAGTACTATACAGCTGTTCCTGGTGTGTAACTGGTCTTTCATTCTTCTTGTCTAGTTTGCCGAGTCTAAGACCGCTGATGGATGTCAGTTACCTGCCTCTGACAGACATGCGCATTGCAAGAACATTTTGTTTCACCAACGGAGGGCAGGCATTATATCTTAGCTCCCCGACGGAGATTCAGAGAATTACTTACAGCCAGGAGATGTGTGACAACCTGCAGGTCAGCACTGTTGTCTGTCTGCCTCATGCAATTTCTCATAATTTTGCATTCATATACACTGCCAGTCAAAATAACCAAGTGCCCAGAGCTGACAGGAGCCACTGAAGTAAAATGCCATGCTGGTCATATGTTGTCTGAACTCCACTGGGTTGATGATGTAGATATCTTTTTTACGTGCATGTGTGCGCATACACACGGTCATATTTATGAAAGTATTTGTTCTTAAGAGGTATTACTGCACTCTCACTATTGATCAAAGATACCTGTCTGAGTGGAGCTGGTAACACAGTGCAGCCATAGTGTCACCTAGAGGTAAACAGTGGTTACTCAAATTGTGGTCTGGTTCTCACAAGTCACTGAGGAGGAGCTGTCAGTATACAGTAGACCAGTTCTCAACCTTTATTAACTTAAGGCCCACTTTTAATTGTAAAAACAAAATATGAGGACCACCTTCCCAAATAAATGAGAAAATAAAAGAAAAACACAGAACACAACACAAAGTAACTTCAGTTTTTTTTATGCCACTGTGCCCACCAGAGGGCGCACTGAGGCCCTCCAATGGGCCACGGCCAAATGAATGAGAGTGACTACAGTAAACAAATCACCTTACAATAAGACCCATAATATCATTCATCTGCATGTATGCGTCTATGACAGTTTTATAAAGATGGTAAAAGTTAAAGAAAGTGAGGAAAACATAGGCACTTTGACCCCTCTCCCCTCAAGCATTACAATGTTTGATCAACAAACTTTGGCAATACATCCATGGTGCATAATCTGAAAGAATTGTTTATATATAAATTTTGAATTTATTGATTGCTAAAAATGTCTTCTTCTTTCTTTTCTTCCATGTTCATTCATTGCAGGAAATGCTGGGGGAGCTGTTTACACCAATAGAAACACCAGAAGCCCAGAACAGAGGCTTTCTAAAAGGCTTCTTTGGAGGAAATGCCCATAACTTCGACAGAGAAGAGCTCTGTATGTTTTTATTTTATTTTATTTTTGTCTTTCTTATTTTCTTAATATGATTCCAGTATGTGCTAATTCACTTAAATGATTCCATTTGATGTTAATTAAAAGTTATCTATATAATTAACAGTGGTTTGCAGTAAAATTGACATTGCCATATTAGTAACCCAGAATGTGCTTTATTTTTTTTATCGTCATCATTTTCTGACATACTTTTTTTCCTTCTTCTTCTTCTCTGTACCTGATGTCGTCAACAGTTGGTGAGGCAGCAGCTGGGAAGGCTTCTCGAAGTCTGGCGCAGCATATCCCGGGGCAGGGAGGGATGGAGGGCATGAAGGTGGGAGCTAGTGGAGCAGTGGGTGAGCTGGCTCGGGCCCGCATTGCTCTGGATGAGAGAGGCCAGAGACTGGGGGAGCTAGAGGAGCGAACCGCCCTCATGATGACCAGTGCAGAAACCTTCTCCAAACATGCTCATGAGGTAAAAACAAGAACATTATAGTAGTAATAACTAAAATAGCTTAGTAGGAGTCCATTTTTTGATTACAAAAAAGATATCCTAATTAAGTCTTAATTAGCCAGAATGAGTAAGTGAGTAAATAAGAATGTCCTCATAAAAACTGAAATAAAATTTAAATTATGCCGACTCAAAATAAACAATCTCCATTGCTTCCATCCCATTCCCCTTTTCTCATTTTCTCAGTAATAGCAACATACAGTAATAATATGATGTATAGGCATTGCTGATTTGTGCTGACACACCTCCTCAATGAAGATCATATGGTGGCACCAGTTCTCTGTTATTGTCTCATTTACTTACTCTTGAATTTGCATATATGTTTTATATCCAACTGCACAGACAAGGTGCAGCATTTTTAAATGTAGTGTTATTCCAAAGAAATACACTGGAACAGGAAATGAGTTTGTGATAGCATCATATTCTTCACCATTAATAATAGCATGTGATATTTATGTTGTTGTTTTTTTTTTTCCAGCTGATGCTAAAGTGCAAGGACAAGAAGTGGTACCAGTTGTAATTAGCAGGACTAGGGTTGGTGCTGCACTTGGACCACTGGGAGATTTATGCCAGGACAGACACTTTCACTCAACTAAAGAGCAACTAAAAGACAGGCTCAACAGTGACTTTGTCTTTACGGCTTCTGGACTTGCTGTACTTTTGGCACTGTCACATTGTTGAATGACAAGGATGGGTTAGTCCCTTGTCTAGATATGCAGCGATATGTCAGAAAGCGGACGGCAGCATTTGAAGTACTAAAACTGGAACTGGAAATATCCACCAAGTCTCATAAAAAATCAGGGTCTGGTGTTTTGTAATGAGGAAACATGTCACCAAATGCAGCAGTGTGTTTCCCTGATATGTTATTAATCATTTTTTAAACAACAGTGGAGATTAATGGCACAGACAATTAAGCAAATCCAGTTCTGACAGATGTTATTCATGACCAGAGGCAATTCTTTCTTGTGTGTGTGTGTGTGTGTGTGTGTGTGTGTGTGTGTGTGGGGTTGGGTTTTCGTAACCTCACTCTGTAGATACTCAGAAGATAAGGAACCATCAAAAAATGCATGAAACAAAATGGATGACTATTAAAAATATCCAACTGCCATATTTAAAAAGCAGCATGCTACTTTAACAGAAGCAGATGATACAAGAAAAAAAAGTTTTATTTAACGATGTAAGCCAACAACAAAAACTATGAAAAACTTTATATTTTTTGAAATACTGACAAAAAAAAACTATATATAAAAATGGAAATGCATAACTGCATTGCTATTAAGCCAAAATTTGTGTCCTTTTCCCTTTTTTCTTTCCTTTTTGTCTGTTTTAACATTTTTTCTTAGTCACATCAAATAGGCCTATTACTTGACAGTATAAATGCACATAGTTAGCATTCTCTACATACACTTAGAATAATGCTAAAACTCATTTTTACCACTTTCTCTGGGCTGCACAGTGCAAACACAAATCAGTTGTACTTAACTTTGCGCAGTCTATTCACACAGATTTAATTCCACTTTTTGGCTGCTGCTACTTACAAAAGCTTTCAGTGATGACACTCCCCAACTATAATTGTATGAAAACACAACAGATTACTGTGAGATGTATGCAAAAGCTGAAAGAGCTAAAAGCGTATTCTGGACACAGTGTGTTTATATCTATAGTATGAGTCTACAACATACAGTATATTATTCATGTACCATAAAAACAAGATGAGCAAACTAACTAACAAAGAACTAATCAGTCATCATATGATCAGTACAGATGACAAGAAGTATGCTGAGTCGGCCTTAGGGGGCTTTTTTTTTTTCTTTTAGTTGCTGGTTCATCATTCAAGTCTTTAGCTGCCTTTGTCAAATGTAAAAGTTTAGTGAGCCACTAGATTGTGTGTTAGAGACGGGGAAAAAGAGTGCCACAAATGTTAAACCGGAGTTTATCTCTGCCAAAGCAATCAAAACTGGATGACACCCTTGGTTCTCTCTCCATCTCAGTCTTTTAAAAGTTATGGTATGTGTTTTTAGCGTTAAGCCAGAGCGCTCCTCTTTTCATAATCACAAAGAATACTTTTAATGGTTGTCACTGTCTTTGTGACAGGAATACGAAGAAGAGTTGGAAGCAGGTCTGTTTACAGTAAACCCTTGTGAGTCGTTTATCAGTAAAAGTTTCACAAAAAGTAACAGTATTTTTTTCAGTAATGTTAAAGATGTTGAGTCAATGAAAAAACAGTACATGTGTAAAACTTTTGCAACAATTTCAACTGAAGGCAATTTCTTTTGTTCAATATTGTTCTTAATGACTATGATGTCCTCTTGTTGCAGTCCTATATTTGATGGCGATGGCCTCTCAACTGAAGGCTCGTGTATGTTTAAAAACAACAAATGTTTCATGATACATGGTCCTGTATAGTGATTGTGTTGTACATGTCAATGGGTAGCCACACCACATGGGCAAACAGCATTAACTGACAAGGACATTTTGTACTTGTGTATTTGTCTGTACTTTAAATTGATCTGAACCAAACTATAACAGTTGATTATGACATCCATCTCTCACACATCAGGCCTTTATGCACACAAGCATTAAACACATATAAAGCACTGGGTCCTCAGTTTGTCACGCCCACATAAAATATGCACAGCTACACACAGATTCAAGGCCTAAAAAAATAATAGAGACAGGTAAATGTGCACTGGAAGTCATTTCTGCCATCTTGTCAGGCATTCCTTCAAGCCCATTAGTTTTCACTAAACTCAAGTCACCTGAAATCCAAAAGTAGAGCCATGTGGATTTCAGGAATTACGCATGATTTGATTCAATGCGGTGTCTTAGACATGACAAAAAATAAAATCCTCTTCTGTCTCTGTACCGTCAATATTATTTTGTGTTCAGTGCAGTTCTGTCAATGGCAGAGAAAACACAGACAGAAAAAAAAAAAGAAATTTAAAAAAAGACTTCTACTGACAGGGTGTTTTGTTAGTATGTTTTTGGTTTTTATATTAACTGTACAGTTCAATCTTGGGTGAAAGGTGAAACAAAAAATTATAAAAGATAAAGATATTCTTGAGATATTTTTCTCTGTATATGTTGTACCTGTTACTGCTGGTACTGTATCTGGTATTCTGGCTCTGTCTAAATCACTGGAACTCTGTAGTTCTTCACACATATTGTATCCTGGAAAAGCATTTCTCTGGTTTTCTCAATGATGGCAGCAAAGTTTGTCTTATTTAAATGGATTCTACCACTTTTTGTTCTTATTGATATTATACTAGTGTAATAGAAATTACTTGACAAAAAAAAAGAACTTAAAATATGTTGATGCAAAAGCAAACTGAAATAAACATTGATTGATGTACACAGTTTAAAGCAATGTTTCACTGGTCCCTAACCAGAATCAACTGTTTTGCTCATATAAAAGTGCAACATAATGTTCCATGTGTGCTGTTTAGCTTCTTGCTTCAGTACCTCCACATCAGCAAGCCTTCTCACGTCAAGCAGGCTTGAAAGGACATGCTTTTTTAAAATTAATATTATAGTCAGTACTAAATGTTAATGTTACTCTCTGGGAGAAGCATACAGTCAGCAATTATCTTACATGAAAAAATGAAATTCTCTGAAATATTATTACAGTGATATTCTGTCTTCCTGCATTTCATATATCATTTCACTATTATATAATCTCTTTTCAAAAATTATGTTGTACCCCTATAAAAGCCAGAAGCGTCCCTTTAATTTGTACCTTAGTTGTAATTATTCATGTTAAACAAGTCAATAGCCTAGTAAACTCCTCCACACAGCCAAGTCATAATTCTAAACTAAGTAACAGTTACAAAATTCTATCAGCCATGTTACAGTGCAATAACAACAAAAGATGAAACTTTTTTTAATTACCAGTGTAGGTTCATCTACAAAAGACGAAGTGTTTTGGAGTCAAATTCCAAGATGAAAATTTTTATGTAACCAAATATCTTGTACAATAAATACATTTCTGACATTTTTAACAAACTAAACTATTGGAAAAATCAACGATTTATGATTATTTTAGTTGTGAATAACCGCCAGCCTTCATACACATACTGTACTTGCAGTAGGAAGCGTGGGATTACTGTTCCAACATGGCGGCTGGGTTGACGCATCGCCGGGATGAAGAGTGGAGGCATATACGGCATCGACCACCTCCACTTTTTGAAAATACTGTAGGACAGTGAGAATGAAAGGGTTGTGATACTGTTTCATGATTTTGATTAGCGTGTGCATACATTTTCGAACTTCAAAATAGTTATCACAAAACAAACACCAATGAATAAGCCTATACACTCACATTAATGTCTGTATATATCCAACACTTTAACTTCCGGATTTGCGTGCAATCAGATTGTAGTTCAGGGGTCCTCTGCTCATTGAGTGAATCAAATTCAATACTCGCCAACAGCCAATAGAATTGCTGCATTGCTCGTTTAGATCCCGCCCTATGCTAATTCAGGAAATAGTTTGACCTGAACTGCAGATGAGTTTGGCAGTAACTCTAGCTAACGGTAATTTCTATACCACTTGCGCCTATTTTAAGAGAAAAACCCAATATGTTTATGTGAGCTGAATATAATGTCTTTGTGGCGTTATAATGCCACGTTTTCTACGCTGAACCGTGTTACTCCAAATGGGAAGTGAACAATTAAAACGTTATCCACAGACAACTTACAAATCTGGGCATTTTTAAAATCAACAATGATAAGTTCAGGTAGTGGACCTTTGTAAAACTGACGCCTAATGTCAAGAGGAGTCGACGCTGAACAGCTATGTCTTTTCGACTATTTTCGTGGTTGCTGCTGCCCTGCTGTCTGAATGTGTTCAGACATGAATTCGCCGGGGCTCAAGCGATCCCGGTACCCAGTGCTGCCAAAACTTTAGTATGGGGACCTGGACTAGAAGCAAATATTGTCCTTCCAGCTCGCTTTTTCTACATACAGGCGGTGGACAGCTCGGGAAAAAAGTAAGTAACTTATGCTTGATATGGTGTTGTAGCCAGAAGGTTTTTCCAGTGGCAACAACCTGGAAAAACTAAGTGGTAAGCAGTGCTGCTTTCAAGTGCACCACGTAGCATGCAGTTTTGGATACTGTAAGGTGATGATCATTTTTATCTAAATAAGTAATTCATTTTTATATTAATGAAAATGCATGTTGTTTTATTTAAATAGTTAAACAGGTTGGGGCTCTGCTGGAGATTGAACCTCTGTATCTCCTAACTATTATAAAGCCCTAAAATATTTGACAAAGAAGTTATCCTGTCTGGTATCCTTTATCCTGTTGTATATGTATGTGTTGAGAATTTTGGCACTAAAATTCAATAATTAAATAAAATAAAAAATAAAATACGTCAGTGTTGTCTGCTGGTACAGAAGAGAAACAATAAGTACCAGGAAGCCATGGAAATATACCAACAACAGACTGTTAATTATGTAAATTGTTACATTTCATTACAGTGTAGTCACAAAATACTAGAACAATAATGATTTTAACAGTTTTGGCATAGACAGTCTGAAATCAAACTGTGACTACATGACTTGTGTGCCAGCATGTCACTATTTCTCTGGCTTGGTCTTGTTTAATAGGAGTATATTCTTCATATTCTGTCCCTCCCAGTTTAACAGTATCACCTGGTGAGAAAACCTTTGAAGTGAAGATTGTGTCTTCAGTAGAGCAGTTCACCAGGATTTGGATCCAGGTCCTGGATCGTCAGGATGGCTCATTCCTGGTTCGCTACAGAATGTATGCCTCCTACACAGACCTTCACATCCACATTCTGCTCAAGAATAAACATGTTGCCAAGTCACCATTCATTCTTAAAGGTAGAACAAGCTGCCCACAGAAATGCTTTTGGATTAGATTTTATTTTGGGGTTTTTGGCAGGTGCAAGAGGAAGATCTTAATGTTTTTTTTGTGTGTGTTTTTGCTCTACAGGCCCAGTCTACCATGAGGGCTGTAACTGTCCCCAGGCCAGTGGTTCTGTATGGTTGGATCACATGCACTGTCCCCAAATCTTCCCCCAGATAGACAGGGACTTGTCCCATTACCTTAGTGTTGACCCAGATCGTAATGCGCGGGAAATTCCACAGCGCTTTGGACAGCGGCAAAGTCTCTGCCATTATACCGTCAAAGATAACAAGGTACATCATATTTGTGATTGTGTGTGTGGTTTTTTTTTTTTTGCTAACAGTCTGATTTAACAGCAAACTGATCTGTTGGTTTAAGATTTAAGATCCTTGAGCTATGTGATACACCTGTAAGAGCAGTGCCGCCAGCTGTTCCAGGGTACAGTCTACTCAGAATACCACATTTGAATGTCAATCCAGGTGGCTGTAATAGTGATATGCCTGCAGCTCTGTTCACACAGTGCTAGCATTACTTGGGATCTTGTCAGTTGTCCATACATTTACAAGCCCATTGTAATTCAAACGCACTGTTTTGAGTCAGGGTGAATGTCCAGTTGCATTTTAGGCCCGATGTAAGGAGTCTGATTCAGTGGTTCCAAGTGGGCGGTTGTGCTCACTAATAATCGGTGTGGACACGGTCTAGTGTGTAGAAGTTACTGGAAATATATTCTCAAAAATATGTTATTGTAACAACATTATTATTATTTAATTACTGCATTCAGAAGGTCCACAGTGTGATAGTTGCCAAAATATGTAGTTGAAATGATGGAAAGAATAGCTTGAAACCTTAAGTCTTAATGATTTCATATCGACTCTGCATTCAGTGACATAGTCTACTGGTTGTGAAAGTAATCCTGAAATGAGGTCAGGCCTCGACTACTCTCTGCAGCAGTCAAGCTACTGTATATGTAAATGTAACATGGCTCCTGTTATGTTTTGATGTTGATATAGCTTTTTCTCTTCCTTAGGTCTATGTTAAAACGTTTGGGGAACATGTAGGTTTTAGAATCTTTATGGATGCCATCCTCCTGTCACTCACCAGGAAGGTAAGCTCTTCTTAAACTACCAGCGTACCACTGACACATTTCTAATCTTTAACATGCTTTATAACTGGATTTATTCATCACTTGGTTTTAAATGACTAGACGTAGACAAGACAGACATTTAGACTGAACCTTTCACTTCTATAGTCCATTTATCCTTAAGCTATGATGCTATAAGGAGTCACTGCCTTCATTATTATACAAAATTGCTATGAATTTACATGCATGGGGAGGCAGCAGTGTCTTTCTGTTATGTGATAATATTTTCTCAATATTTTTTAAATTGATAGCAATGTCATCTGTGATGCTGTGGTATGGGTGCAGGTGCAGCTCCCCGATTTGGAGTTTTTTGTTAACCTGGGTGACTGGCCATTGGAAAAGAGGAATCCCACTGAGAAGATTCATCCAATCTTTTCCTGGTGTGGTTCTAACAATACCAGAGATATTGTCATGCCCACTTATGACCTGACTGAGTCTGTCCTTGAGACCATGGGAAGGTAAGGCTCTGTATCTATAATAAGGGTGTACAATATATTTTCTGGGATTTTGTTGATAACAATAAACAGTCGATAGTTTGCATCCTTTAAAAGTGTACTAGATAGCTTTTGTTAATAGCCTACAATATACAGTTTTAGGAAAAGTTGCCTTATTTTTGTACTGAAAACTGAAGCATTCAAGTTAACTATACACAGACACTGAAATTACTTTTGCAAAATGATTCCGCTAATATTTGCTGACTGTTTTTGTGCTGGTACCTCAACTGGTTTAGTCCTGTCTTGGACCATGAACATGCTGCATGCACTCTCAGTGTGCACGTGCAGTAGTCTGTCGTACTAGGTTTTTGACGTAGTGAATGTGTGGACTCAAAGCTTTGTGTAAAGTGAGTGATGTACTCGATAATGCCAGCTCACACATCGTTAAAACAACATTAAGATATTATCCTATGACTATGTAGTATATCACAGCCCCCAACACAAAATATTCCAGAATTTTGGGTTAAACTCTCAGATTTGTTAACTCTCGACTAAATATTGAATTTGCATTGGAATTAGCAACATCATTCAGTCTCATTCTTTGAAGTGTTTTAAGTTATGAAAATCGACTTGGGGCACAAAGAAGCTCATGATTAAAAAAAAATAAAAATCTGCACAATACAAAGAGTCCCCTCTATCACTAGCTGTAAACACAGTCAGCTACCATTGTATGAGCAGTCCACAAAAATGTTTGTCACATCTGGCAAGTATCCAATAATCACTGCCTGAAGGCTTAAAAATGGCTCCAAAAAGGGGCCTGCTCCTTCGTGGAGCTTGGATTCTAATGGTTACCCAGAGTCATGGCTTAAAATACACTGCACATTGATTGACAGCAGATACATTGGTTATGCAACAGTGATGATTTGAGAGGTTTCTGTGCATGTTTGATATGATCTGACAAGTCTGTTTTGGCTCAGTGTGTTTGGTAGGTCTGGTAATGTATTTGTTTAGCACAGGCTATCAATTTAGTTTCATTTGTCCACCAACTTAGTTTGGAACTTGATGGTTTAATAAAACAAACTGAGTTCTTTAGTTTCAAGATTTGATATGATTGTCATGACAGCAATTTAAAATGTGATTTCCTTAGCATATGACAGTGGGGACAGTCAGGCCTGTGTGTAACGTCTGCACCCTGTCACTGTCACAGTGCAGTCAAAATAATTGAACTAAAATAGCCCTGTGCCAGGATGCTCATTATTTTCTCATCTCTTCACTCTGCTTGTATAAAGTTGTACTATTTTTATCAAGTATGAGATGACTGATTTTTTTCATCTTCCACTTAGACTGAGCCAGTACAGTCCTTCATTACAGGTGTACGCTGACTTTGTCCCACAGAAACTCTGTCACGTTATGAGTGAGACTCACGCACCAGGTGTATGCCGCTGTCTTTCTATTTAGTAGTCGCTGATGTCTGCATGACAAAGCTGCGCTTTATTTACAGCAACAATTAACAGATTTTTCATAAACAGACTGCATGAAGTCAGCCTTTTACATGGTTAAAATAACATGATATAGGTTATAAATACATGAACGTGATGTTTTAGTGACTGTCAATGTTATTACCTCTATATGTACATACAGTACCTCTGGCAGCTGCTGAGATTAATAACCAGATTTAACATTCAGTGTTATGTCCAACCAACGAGCAGAGTGAGCCTGGACATGACGTCGGTTCAGGCCAACACAGGGCCACCATGGCCAGAGAAGAATGCCACAGCCTTCTGGAGGGGGAGGGACAGCCGTCAGGAGCGACTGGAGCTGGTCAAGCTATCGAGGGCTCACCCCGACATGATAGACGCTGCTTTTACCAACTTCTTCTTCTTCAAACACGATGAGAGCCTCTATGGGCCGCTGGTCAAACATGTCTCTTTCTTTGACTTTTTCAAGGTAAGTGGCCCATTGTAGCTGTTTTCTCATCTTTTATAAATAAAAAAAGAAGTATTTTTAGATTTTTTTCTATAAGATATATTATGTAGATCTTAAAAGCTTTATTAAAGGTATTTTGAAAATGACCTTAAAATAAATACATTGTTTTGGTTAAAAATTGATTGTACATAAAAAAAACAGCAGTTAACAGCTCTTTACAGGTTTTAGCTTTTTTTTTTTTTTAACTCATTGTTTTACAACTAAGGATGGCATCTCCAGCAGACACACTCAGACAAGCAGAGTGTACCCAATCTGCAGAAGAAAAATCATAAGGCTGAAGTAAATTAGTGTCTTGTGGGGAACGAAAAGTAAATCTAACATGCTAAAGGCCCAGACAGTTTTCTCTGGAGATGATGAAGCAAAGCAATTGCTGGAAGGCCAGTGTATACTGGCTGCCAGAAAGCACATCTCCTATGGAATGTGCATGTCCCTCTGTGTCCTCTACATCTTCAGTTATACTTTCAATGTCATATGATTTTTGCTGTTTTTCCTCTATGTAAGAAATAATGTACAGATGTGTGTATTCTATATACATGTATTTAATTTGTAAAACTGATCTTATTTTATTCTAACTTACATTGATTTTGAAAAAAAATGTGTTAACTTTTATTTCTGTTCCATGTTTAACCACCAGTACAAGTACCAGATAAACATCGATGGCACTGTGGCAGCATATCGTCTGCCTTACCTGTTGGCAGGAGACAGCGTGGTCTTTAAGCAGGATTCTGCCTACTACGAGCATTTCTACAACGAGCTTCAACCGTGGGAGCACTACATCCCAATAAGGGCGGATCTAGGAGACCTGCTGGAAAAGATCCAGTGGGCTCGTGAGCATGATGAAGAGGTGATGAGAATTATGGATCATGTGCATTACATTTGGCTGTGGATGTAGTGATATCTGGTATAACTCTATTCAGTGGATTGTTATTGGCCTCTTTAAGAATTAAACACAAATACTAACATTTTGTCAATATGTGGTAAACTTTCTCTGTGATGCGCTATCCATATGGTGCTGTGATTTAAAAAAAACAAAAAACAAAAAAACACATGACCCAAGCTACAGTGATACCTGCTATCTTTCAGGCAAAGAAAATTGCACTGGCGGGTCGGCAATTTGCCCGCAGTCATCTTATGGCCAACAGCATATTTTGTTACCACTACAAACTTTTCCAGGTAAGATTGTAGAGTGACAGACTTAATACTGTCAATGAATATACTGAAAAAGGACAGGGTACTACAAAAAGTAGAATTTAGAACATTTTTATCCCACTCCCTCATCATACAGAGCTCAACGTACAGTATATTGTATTGGCGCTATGTTGCATTATGGTTTTACATGGTGATTCAGAAATGTGTTTTAATAGCATAGTTGTGACCAGCATGCACTATGCTTGCCTGTCACTTCCCTCTCTAAGTTCAGTGCTCTTCTTGCAGGAGTATGCCAAACTGCAGGTGACAGAGCCTAAGGTTCGTAAGGGCATGGTGCTTGTAGAGCAACCCACTGATGACCTGTTTCCATGTTCCTGCCACAGGACAAGGGTAAGGAGCACCAATAGGTTTCCCTTGCATCAGAGTCACTTTAGTACTGCTTCACCTCACCTCAGCATATGAGAGTCTCTTGAATATTATCAGCAAATAAGGAATAATCCCTCTTTATGTTTCTGCAGTTATTTGTCTAATGAAAAGGTAGAACTCAAAGATAATGAAACTTATACAGCTTTGACAGGACAGGGCCTTCAACTGCTTCATCGTGCCAGTACAGTTACACCTGCAAATTAATGTACCATAAAAAAGTCAGCTTTCCTTTGTCAGAACACTATATATTGTAGCCTCTTTTGAGTGGTAGCAGAGGCCCGTTACTATGAGATATCTTGACTTGACATAAGCAGAGATGCTACAAAAACCATCTATGTTTTGTCATAGCATAAGCAGAGATGCTACAAAAACCATCATCTATGTTTTGTCATAAGCGTCCCAGTAAGCCATGGCAGAGTGTGCCAGTGATCCACCATCCTCAAAACCAAGACCCTGAAACTCGAGAAGCTAAATGGAGTTCAGCCATCATTAACTTTATTATCAATACATGTGTTTGCCTCAGTGGTAGTTAGAGTCCTACCACTCAGCCTTAAGAAAGGGCTAAGACTCAACAAAGTGTGTCTCCCTCTGGTGTGTGTAAGGTGTCAGTGCACCTAAAACACCTCTGCTTAAAACAAGTTGAACATAAAAATGACACTGAAGTTATGTTAAAGGCCGTCCACACTCGCATACGTGTGGTCAGTTACTCACCCTGATTAGACATCTGCTGCACTTGAAGTTAGGTAGAGATATGCTAGGAATTCATGTAACCAAACGTGCCTTGTGATAACTGTGCAAGCTATTCCACCTAAGCAGGTGCAATGGGAGTTTTACATATGACTAAAGCGAGCTGTAATTTAAATTTTAATTAATTAATGGTGTTTTCAATTATATAGACAGCGAGATTTGTTAAGTGAATATTCAGTTTTGAATACATGATGGTTCAGATTAAACAGGTAAAAATGTTGATTGTTCTTTTTTATTTTACAAATTCTTTTTTTTTTCCATTATGTTATACAACACAGTTGAGTACCTGGTGGGACACGTCTCTTCCTGTATGCTAAAACAAACCTAAGTGATTCATTCTGAAAGCTAATGACACCCCTGTGTTTCTAACATGAGTCTTTGTTTGTTTTGCAGGCAAAGGATGAACTCTGATTGACCCGTCACAGAGTTTTAGGACAATCCTCCATGTCTGATGTGTTTCCAAAAAAATTTTGTCCAAGTGTGGAATGAATTGTATGACTATGGTATCACCTTATCTATTTTTAAAATAAATGTTTTTTTGTATGCTGAAAGTGAGCGTTTCTTGTTGCTATTATATTATACACTCACATTCACACCAACTGTAGAAGCATATGCAAAACCTACGTTTATATTTTAGAGAAATGTTTAACATGGTGTGACATCACAGGAGATCTAGATTTAAGATGAAATCACAATGGTAGGTATCAGTATACAGACAGATCTAGGAATCCTGTTACTGGACATATGGAATTGGTATATTCATACAGAAATTTAATGTCAATATATTTCATAGACTGAAACTATTTTCTGGAGAGATTATCGCAATAATTTTTGCATAGCATTGGATAGAACACGTTCAGCCACTTAACACAGTTTTTGCTCAGACTCAGTAGCAGCTCTCATGGGATTGTCATCAGTTAAAACTATTAGATGGCATGATTGCAATATATACAATGCAATTAATACAGAGGATGGAGTTAGAGGTGCAGTTTTGCTTGGTCCCTGCTCATGCAGATGTTGAAGGAAATAAGCAGACAAACTAGCTAAGAGAGCTCTACAATTATATACTAAAAGTAGCTTATGCAAATTCATTATTTAGATCAGCAATGAAGGGAGAATGGGATTCGGATTTTAAAAGAAGACAAATACAGAAATGTTTTCTTTGTCTTCCAAAGCTCAGATAATTCCATGCTGACTCTACACACTCCGATGCAATAGGTGGCGGTATGTACCTTAATCGTTGGTTCGCTATCTGCCAGAAAAGGAGAAGAAGAAGAACGTAGTTGTTGGTAGTGAAATGTGCTGTATTTACTCCTGAACGTTAGCGGTCAGTCATTAGTGTTCGGATAGCGGAGTTAACCGATATGGGCACGTTTGAGGAGGTAAATATGTCGTTTACAAACTTTACCACGCTATGATACGAGTCAAAGTTAGGTTAGGTTGGGGGGTAACATTAACAACAGAGACTGTTCTAACCTGACATTGTTTTGTGCAGTTTCGATAAGTGTTACAAACTCAAAAGGGGAAAGCATAGACCCCCACATATCACCTCACAGCTAGCTGGCTTTGTAACGTTATCATGCCAACGCAAGTTAAGTTGCAGTTTCGTTAGCCTACTTTGCGGTGGGAGAAGTTGTTATTATTAATGGGCTCTAGAGACGATGCTCACTGACTGCTCTTTGACTTTCAGGACAGAGTGACGGTTCCGTTTGGGACAAAACAACTGGATGCTGTGTTGTCTGTCCCTGCCTCAGCAAAAGATACTTCCACAGCCGTCTTACTCACACATGGTGCTGGTGGAGACATGAACCTCAAACATCTGGTTTCTCTGGCACATACTCTGGCGTCAAATGGCTTCCTCTCTCTCCGTTTCACATGCAAAGGTTTAAACTTGAGTTATAGAGTCAAGGCGTACCATGCTGTGTTGGTAAACATTTTTATTCATTTATAAACAAAAAGTTACTATTTTAAATCCATAAGTTGCTTCACACATTTGTTTTTTTTTTATCTTATCCTTAGGACTACTTGAAATCTCAAGAGACGTTTACCATAAATCACATATTTGTTGGAGGTAAGGAGCAATAGTTTCTTTTACAGTAGGTCACATGAAATACACACATACTATAGACATACAGACAGGTGAAAGGAATAGCCAACATAAAGTATCTTAGTAAAGTGCTGTGCCACCAGAACAACTTCAGTGCACTTTGGCATTGATTCTACAAGTCTGAACTCTGCTGGAGGGATGAACACTATTGTTCCAAAGGATATTCCACCATTTGGTGTTTTGATGATGGTGGTGGTGGAGATGCTGTCTGATAAGCCACTTCAAAATCTCACATAGGTGTTTAACTGGGCTGAGATATGGTGACTGTGAAGGCCATAGCATATGATTCACAACATTTTCATATACTCATCAAAGCATTCAGTGAGCCCTTGTGCTTTAGGAATGTGTGCATTGTCATCCTAGAGGTGACCACTCATTTTATTCAGGTTTTTCCTGTCAGCTATCTGTACATGTGCCACATATGTAGGCCTGTTATTAAACAATTTGATGATCATTATATTAAAATAATTGCATTCATAGCAAGTTTCATTCATATTAATTAGTTTCTAAATCCAAGCAGCAAATTAACATCCATGACTGATGCTAAACAAAGCCTAACAATGGAATAATCTAGTCACCAGTAACAGATAAAAACACAGGAAGTGTTGTGCTCTAATTCAGTACTGAATGTCTTTTATATTAATCGCTGTGACCCATCTACAGGCAGGTCAATGGGATGTCGTGCAGCTGCAGCTTTGGCCAGGCAGCTGAATGAGGAAAAAGAAGGTACAGTGCAGGGTGTCATCTGTCTGTCTTTCCCTCTGCACCCACCAAGACAGACACATAGCCATCGGCAGAGGAGTGAAGATCTCAGGAGGCTGCCTGAACACACGTCTGTACTGTTTGTGTTGGGCACTGAGGACAACATGTGTGATAGGGTGACGGCTGCACTGCAGTTACATACACACTAGACTTTCATTCTGTAATGATATATAACACATACTGTATGTTGGTAAAGTAGCATCAGTTCTTTATTCTTATCTACATATAGTTATTGATATAAGGTGTTAATGACATGACACACAGTGGTGATTTTGAGTTTTGTCTTTGTTTAGGATCTTTTTGATGGGATGGTGAAAGAACTCAAAGCTCAAGTTGAGGTTTTCTGGCTCGAAGGAGGCAGTCATGGGCTAACAGTGAAAGGAAGGTCGGATGATTCCGTGTTGGATGAAATTAATTTACATGTCATTACCTGGATTCGTAAACAAGGAGCATAGATTAATTCATATAATCATTTTTTATTATTATTATTTTTGTTGTATTTTTTTAAATAAAGGGCATTTCTTTGCAAATTGTAGTCAATTATTTTGATGAGCATTTTTAGATGACTTCTGAGAGACATTTAAAGCCACCAAAAACATTTTTATTGACAAGATGCATATGTAACACAATGCGCATGCTTCACTGATGAGTATGAGCATCCTGTATGAGGCAGCAACAGCTGATCATATTCCTGTTGTAATAGATTTTGAAAAGATCTCTGTATTATCCAGATACAGTTGCAACACTGAAAAACTGGACTGGACAGCCCTTACAATTGAAGATGCATTAGCCTACTATGCGCATACAGATAAAGCTGTGAGAAAAATAAGAGTACCCAGAGGTTTACTCCCCTTCTTGCTCTTTGTTTTGCCGGCTTTGTGTTTCATGGCCTGTTACCAGATTCCACGCTGTCTGTTTTGCTGGTGCCAGTTAATAAAGACAAAGCAAGTAAAGTAGGCAGCCTAGATAATTATAGGCCCATAGCCTTAGCAAGCATATTGTCAGAAATCTTGGATAGTATCCTGCTGGATAGATTAAAAGAGTCTATTTATTCCAGGGACAATCTGTTTGGCTTTAACGCAAAACATGGCACTGATATGTGCATATGGTCTGAAGGAATTTGCAAATAAATATAGAGGTAACTACTCCTCAGTTTTGATGTGTTTTATCAATGCTGTTATGTCGTTTGATTGTGTCACTCATAAGAAGTTGTTTAATAAAATGAGGTGGGGTTGTATTACGAGAATATTGGTTTATTGTTACCAGCAACATTGGGTGCGTGATTGGTAATACACTAGTGAACTATATTATATATGGTAAAACCAGCCTATATTAATTGTGGGGATGCTGATGAACTCGGGGTGATCTCGACTTTTGCGAGTCCCAAAAAAAAGCCATCGCCATCCAAACTTGCATGTAGTGGTGTTCACTGTGCCTTTAACACGAAGTCTGACGTTTCTATGTAGTCGAATGTAATTGGCTGGCTGACTTCCGCATGTTTGTTTGTAGGGAAGCATGGCAAGAGAACCGTGGAACAGGATAAACATTCCCTTTCCTAGTGCTCTCTCTAGTGTCCGCATACGTTTCAGCTCCAAAACAGGTACAATGCATTGCTCTAATGATAATAAGCTAAACATTTTACTTTGCTACGTGACGTGCGACGCAGATCTGAGTGTTAAAGATACATCTACTGTATATGTGTCGCTTGCACCCACGTGGGAGAGCATGGATCCACCTTCATATAGATAGATATATAGATATTTTGTTATTTCCGAAGGAAATATGTGAATGTTGATGGCGTTGTCTTGCAGATGCAACTGTTAAGGCCCTGTTGGCGGAAAACGAGAAGGTCCTTAAGCTAATCCGCAGTGAAATTCTTCAAACGGAGATACGAGTTCTCTACGAGCTGCTGTACATCCTGAACAACAGCTTCAGAGGAAACAAGACGTTCAAGAGCTTAAAACAGGTGAGGGCTGTGGATGAAGCCTCAATAAATGCGTGTGATCTGTTTAACGTCCCACTTTGGGATTGACTGTGTAGTAAACAAAAACGTCAGAATAGTAGTAGTAGATCAAACCAACAGAATGCCTGTGTATACGATGCCTGGACTGTACACTTCATATTTTATGTCTCACAGGTTGAACAATGTGTAAACCGGCTGAAGAACATGAAGCTCGATGTTGCTCTTCAGGAACTGACTGATCTGTGCCCCAGTAAAACGAAAAGGTAGGTAGTATTGTTCAGATGATGGCCTGTTTTTGCCATTTGACTTCATACAGACTGGACCTTCAACAACATGAAACTTGGGTATTGCTGTTGTGTGATTGTTGGTCATGTTGGGGTAAAACAATCAAAGTCACTGAAGCCCTAAATGGTTGCTGTAGATCATTTAAAATATGAGACCTCTCCAGAAGGTTGGATTTGTGCAGGGCCTGGTATGTATAACATTGAAAAGCTGTACAAGAAAAGGTTTAAAATTCATGATTAAACCATTAACTATATATTTTTTGTGTTATCTAATGCAATGAAAAGAAAAGTTGCTTCAATTATAAGATGTTGTCCATGTGTGTGTGTGTTTTTTTTAGAGGACTGAGCTTCAAAGCTGGTGAGTGTGATGTTCCCAGTCAACCCATGCTGGAGTGGCTCTGCCTCAAAGTGCTGGGAGGGGCCCAGCTGATGAGCTGCTCATTGAATCACTGCAACAAAGCTTTCTCGTATCCTTGTCGAACATGGCACTGTTGTGGAACATCTGCATAATTGTTCATGATGAGTCATATCATCCTAATCTCTGAAGAGCTCTTTCTTATGTGTTTGCAAATCTGGATCTTTGTTTAAATTGAACATTAGACTTTTAGCCTTCCTGATGTCACCTTGCAGGTTTGCACTTAACGGGTGTTTGTTTCAGACTCTCGAAGCAGCAGATGAAATGGGAGGAGTTTCTTATCTTGAACATGGTGATAACCAGCATGCTCAGTCGACTATGGTCAGTGCTCTTCCTCATTGTCACATCTGCAAATTACAGCTTTCTGTGTTGGCTTGAAATAATATGATTTGTGTTTATTTACAAACTAATTCTATGGTCTAGGGTGATTTTCCGCGGCGTCCTGGTCAGCCTGTCCACTCTGTACCAGCAGCTCCTGGCGTTCCTCAGCGAAGTGGCCCAGTCCCGGCCCATGCCCTTCCTCACAGACTTCTCCCTGCCAGCAGATATGGCTCAGTTCTTGGGTCCCTCTGCATTTTTACGTGCCAAACAACCAAAATATGATTCCCTCAATAAAGAACACAGGGCAAAGCAGCAGAGGATGAAGAAGTCTTCTGGTAAGCTAGAGAACCAGAGAAAGGCACTGAAGGTTAAAGAAGATCTGGGTGTTGCTATCGATAGAGGTATGGAGCTTTATTCACTGGTTTCTGTTGTGTATGAAGCATTTGAACAATAGCACCAGTGAGTTTCTAGTTTTTTGTTATTTTCCACAAATCCTATGCAGACACCAAAACATCAATGAATTTTGTGTACTCTGCGAATCCAGAACCAAGTTTAGCTTATTTGTTTGCGCCATTGCTGTCCAGAGCTTATTAAAAACGCACCACTGTGCCACACAGTTGCCTGTTTTCCCTCACAAAGTACATGTCAGTTCTAATCTTATGTCATTGTCATCTGAGCCTTATTTTAACGTACTGAAATGAACTGATATCAGTAAGCTTGGATAAAGAAACAAGTCTTGTGTGAAATGTTCTGTTAATCTGATGGGCTGAAAGAGAACTGTAGATGTTACGGCAGTTTACATTCCTGATTTCTCTTTCTTTTTCTCCCAGATATAGCTATTGACGCTGACATGAAACCATTTCTCAAGATTTTCAGGAACTTTACAGAGGTACGTGAGCAAGCCAGATGAAATATTTAAGTATCATTTCATTATTTACACCTATTCATCATATCCTTTTTATAGGAAACTCACAAGGCTGACCCGAAACAAAAGTTCAGGAAACAAGTGAGAGATGCGACTACTTTCACAGATATGACAACCTGTCTAGATGAAATGATCATATGGTGCAAATCCAAGAGGATGAAAAAGGAAAAACGTCTCTTAACCTTCCTGCGTTTGAAGTGCCAGAAGTTTAAGTCTCTTGAGGCAGAAGGTTACAAGTAAGAGCAATGCTACAGATACTTACGTTGTTGAGGCAGAACAACCTGCTGTAGTATTCTGAGAGACAGTTGCCATACTAACTGAGCTTTTTTATATAATTTCCTCAGTGTCCAGAGGAAATTGCAGACCTTCAGACAGGAAGCTTGCTGGGCTTCATCTCCTCGAGGGTCAGTGCCGAGAACCTGCCGTTCCTCTGCTGCATTAAGGAGAAAAGCTCACGTGACAACTCGTTTTCAGTCACTTCGGGCTCGATTTAAATCTGCGGCAGTCAGAAATGGTGCAAAAAAGAAAGGTTTGAAGAGATGTCAGAAGAGTGAGTTATCAGTGTCTGGACTGTCGGAGGATGGTCAGAAAAGCAGGACTACATTCGAGCAAACCCCTCTGACCACTGACTGTGAAAGCCACGACGATATAGATGATATATTTGCTTCTGCAGGTTTGTGAATTAGACACATCCAAGGAAACAAATGTGCAGCTGAGCCAGGATGCAGAAAGAGGAATGTGTCAATTTTGAAACGAAAACTGGATGAAACTGGATGCTCTAGGTGAACTGCTGATTGGACATTGACTGTTATACTGTACAAACAGAAGCAGCTGAGTGACCAAACAAAGCATCACAGCTAGGATATACACTGACTGCAAGATCAAAAGTACTAGTAAGTAAGCAGAAAATATTTTATTGGTGTTATTTTTAAAGCAGAAAGTAATGTTAAAGGTGATGCAGTGTAACTGTGGACTAGTTTGGAATGCCTGAATACCAGTGAATTTTGTACCTCCTGTATGATAAAAGCAGTTTAGGCACATTATTGTGGGGTATACAGTATTTAAATATTTTACATGGGGCAAATCCTGAGAGAGCATTTGTTGATGACAGCTGACATCACTGCATACTTCCCTTTTAGTCCTCACTGAATTTGAAATGCAGGACTGTGAAGCATGTCTGCGTTAGGAAAACATGTTTGCCATTTCAGTGTCAGTGCATATTTTCTTAGACAGTGTAAATCCATATTCACTATAATACATCAGCATTTTGCTTATTAAAGCTGATGGTCCAAAGGAGCAAGTGTTTATTTTTTAGGAGACTTCTTTGAATAGCTATTTATACCCTTTAAGAAGGTTTCAAAATGAAGAGCTTAATGATTAAGTTTGAAATGTGCATTACTCATTTAGACTGATGCTGTTTGTTAATGGTATTAAACATTAAAAGCAGCTATAGATCCTTTGAGACATTCACACTTATGCCAGCTACAGCATAGGAGCAACAGGTTCATTAGCTGGGAAAAGCACATCCTGTTCTGTCCTCTTGAAATAGCTTTATAATAGCAAACCTTTTCTTATGTACAAGGCAATAAAATCTTTGTACATACCCTACAATTTGTAGAGGAGATGGATAAAGACTCCATGTCTGAGGGGTTTTTAGTTGATCTGACACCAACTGAGGAAACTGAGCCTCTTGTCAAAGCTGTACTGGTGTTTCTGGCTTCACCTGGTGGAGCTGATCATTTATGCTGCAGTGTTTTCCATGCTGTTAATTCTCCTCTTGAGTGTATGGAAATAAACCTTCGACCTTGTTAGAGGCAACATGATAAAGAAAAGGGCCTCTACATTTGAATTTGGAACTGTAAACTAGACAATGAGTGCTGATATGAACAGAACACACCTGGCAGTGTATCAGTTAGGTAGAGCGGAGCTGTGCAGGCTCTCACATAAAACCCATACAGGTGTCTGGCACTCTATAGCAACTATGACTGCTGAAGAGTAGAGACTATGCACCAAATTGGAGGCTAAAAGGTTTTGTTTCAGCCACTATTTTTGCTGCCTACCTTCTTAATCATCTGCCAAAGGAGACACAGTCTTCCCATATGCACAAATATACGTAGCAGTGTAGTTTCCCCCACTTCTGAGCCTGACTGTGTGGAGTTATGGTCTCACATCAGCCCACTAACTTTATTCGTGCACACAAGTCTGCAGGGTCCTCATTCATCTGCTCTTATGGTTTCATCTATACAAGTTAGTCAAGGTCAACTTTTCTACTCCCCTGCAGTGCGGAATAGGAGCAGAGGTGGAGCTTTGAAGAGCTACATTCTGCATTCATTAGCACATAGAAAATCTGCAGCCAAATGCTATCATTATCCAGATTTTTAATCCTGATTGGAACTACAATGTGATGAGCACAGAGGAGGACATACAGTAAGTATCAGCAAACATTCAGATAAGAAAGCCAATGCTTCTGTTATTTTACAATTGTGCCTGGCTGAAAATATACTTGGTAAATAAAACAGTGATGATTAAACACAGTATTTTACCACATAATGCCAAAAAAGAACTAATGTGGAATTGCTGCTTTTAATTAAATACAGAGTGTGGGTGTGGGTGTCTGTGTCTGTGAGTTGTTGAGGTGATTAATATGCGTTTCTACTCATCTTGTCTCAATTTTTTTTTATTAATAAATTACAGTGACATTACAATTTGTTGCAAGAAAGCAGTAATGGCATGTAAAATGTTGAAATGCATCTGTTGGTAATTACAACAAAACAGACTAAAAATAACAAGCTGTACAAAACTATGACCTCGTTACAGGATCAGCAGGTCTGGTGTTGGTTGTTTGACTTCACCCCGGTTTATGTCTTTTTCAGCTACAAACTTTGAACGCCTGCATCATTATCTGCCCAGGGCAGCAAGTCTTCTACACCATCTGCTGCCTCATGCAGCTTATAGAAGTGAGAAAATATACTGTGGGGCATCCTGTCTCTGTTTTTGTCAGCCACTGATATTTTTTTTATAATGTGATGTAAAACAATAGAAATATAAAGGTCTGCATTCCCAAAATGCTGTTCTTCAATTTTTTCCTCCTTAATAGCAGCAGTGGGAGAGAGAGCAAATACCAGTACATTAAGTTTGTTAAGTATTATGATTAAACTTAAGGTAATATCTTGTTTAGAAGATGTTTAGCTTATGAATCCTGTTAAGAGTTCAGTTTTCTTCATGAAGGGAAGTGTAATGTAGGTTGTGCTCTTTGACCTATGTAACACGTTTTGAAAAAAAATGACATTTAATCAAGAATCAGTTGCATATTCCTGAAACATAATGTAAATTGTGCACCATTCCTCTGCTGCAATTAAAATAGAAAAAAAAGATCAAGCAAAGAAAGGCATGTTAGATGTGCAGGCCTTTTATTATTTTTTGCTTTTGAGGTCAGAGGTTTACCTACCTGTTAACAAGATCTGTTGGGATCTCTATAAATGTAAAAGCTCTGAGCTGTGCCGTTACCATCCATCTGTTTATTTTCTATACTTATTTTGTGTTCTACTACTTATCATTCAGAGTCACAGAGTACACTATTACAGCAATAAAAACATCTGCACTGCCTATGCTGTTACACATTGTAGACCACATGAATTTGATTAGATTCCATTTGAATATCAGTTTCAATTTTTCCACAATCATCTTATTATTTGCACTACTGTCACTGTTTGCACATGGCTTTGAGTTTCATCATAGCCTATTAGGTTGTACCATCTAGTTTATCCTTATTACTTGAATTCAGTTTTCATATTCTGTTTATTCTACTTTTATTCTATTTTAGTTTGTAAATGGTATGGGCATTCAACATTAGATGAGAGAGAAACAGTATTTAGGCCAAAGTATTAACACATGTCTTTATGTTTTAAGTTTTCTTAAACACCACTAAAAACTCTTTGTGGTAGGCTACTGCTGATCTCATTACTACAGCAATAATTTTATGGTACAATTGATTTGATTTGATTTGATTTATTCTTTCAAGCATGTAAAGACAGTTGATATGTCAACACACATAATTTTACACATATCCAACAAATGCTAATCCAATATCAATGTGCTTATACCTAGTACATGCTTGAATGGAGTAGGAAGAAGTCAGACTTATCCAGTCCTACCCCATGACATCATCTTACCATCATTGGTTTGCAAGCAGTAAATGATTCACTTCTACACACACA